TGCGCGCATAGCTTCATGGTCAGCTGCGTTACAAAAAGCAGGGAAGGACAAAGACTGAGGTCTTCGCCTTGTTGACTTGTTTCCGATCATTGCTTAGGGCAGCTATGCAATGTTGGGAATTCCTCCTTTCTTTTTACTTCGCGGTGCTGCGAGCGCCACGGTCTGGTTTTGGCTTTGACTGCTGCGGGAGGTAGAATATGACGAAGAGGAGGAGGAGCTGCTTTCTTTCTCTGGAGATGCAGTCCGCTTAGCTTGTGTGTGTCCTTGGGCAGCACGCGTTTTCCTTTTTAACTGAATGCGTCCAGTTTTTTGATGTAAGTGGGATCTCCAGTGAGCCATTGAACTGTTTGGGCCCACGCTCCTGGCCGATAAACTTCTTCATAGGCCCGGCTTGTCAGTTTGTTGCAGTTCAGATGAATATCCACGAAATAGGTTCGGAGCAGCCCGCTCTCCGTGGCTGTACCTTGCCGGGTAGGAGAGAGAAGGTGCCACCCTGTTCTGAGGATTGCTGTGTCCAAGCCAGTGGAGAGCCAGTTGGCTGTTAGGTTGCATTCGGACTCTTGAGCCAAACATCACAGTCAAACCGTGTCAATGTCCATCTTCTCTTCTTCTGAAGAGGTCTGACTGGTCACAGTCGTCCATAACATGTTCAAAGAACAGAAAGCAACCAATTTTGGTCACATTCCATTCAGTTCTGCCAAGGAGGTCAAAGAGAACACAGAAGATCTCCACTCAGCTCCAAACTGTAAGGACAGAAAAAACGAAAAGTTCCCTACAAAGAGGTACTGGGTGAACATTGTACAGGCGTGCCACCACACTTTTCATATGGACAGTTGCAGAGCGTGATCTTCGAGTTGTCGAGAGCGGACAACGAACACAGGCGCCTACAAGACGTTGAGGCAATCGAAGTGATGGCTTTGAAGAATGTCAAGGGATCGGTTGCTCGCACAATTCCTGCTCTTCGTCGATGAACGACGCTGTCGGGAGCCAGGCCAGTTGCAGTCTTCGACAGTCCCGTCAAGGTCTTCAGCAATCTCATGTTCTCAAGGTAAAGATGTTTTTTGGGAACTTTGTTGCAGTCAAGATTCATGTCTGAGACAGGCTTGTTTGGAGGTGGTGTTTCTTGCATTGGATGTCATGATTGTCTGCAGGAAGAGGCACGCAGAGATTCTTTCAATAGTGTACTGATTCTTTGCATTTCTGTTAGGGCCGCAGGACCAACCAAACGACCACCATCGATCTGTGGAACTGAGTCGATCCATGTTCATGTTTCTTTACCACTGCAGGAACTCGGATTTTGAATGTTCACCAACAGTCAAGGCAGAGACATGTTGAGATCTTTGAGGAACTGGCCAACTCTGTCGGTTGTCCTTTGAAGAAGGTTCAAGAGGTTCATGGTCAGGTGTCCAAAATCCTCAAAGCTTCCAGCAAACAATCAGCGCTGGAAGTCAGAAGTCTTGAGAAAGGTCTTGTCGAACCAGCGATTGGAGTTTGAAGGTGTCGTGAACGGATGTTCAATGATGTTCACCAAAGGTCAACAACCAGTTGGAAAGAGGTTCAGGTTTGTGTCAAACAGAAAGGAGGTTGCAAATGGGTTCGTCGAAAGGTTTGAGTGTCAGTGCATTGTCGAGCACGCTTTCAACAATGTCAATTGGACAGAGACGGAACGCGCCCGTGTGTTCGCTCGATGCTTCGTTCGGTTTCGAAGGAATGAGGCTGGACATGCATGTGAGCGGATGCTGCCGGATTTGAGAAGGGTCTGAGATGGATCTTGCACAGCTTCGATCAAAATGTGCTAGCTGACTGCTGTGCATCCGCAGCCATTTGGGACGCATGATGGCCATGGAAGCAGCATTGAGTAAGCGTATGCTGGATGGTCGTGAATTCGAAATTCTTTTGGCAGTGATTTTCAGCATGGGGATCCTTACTGGATTTTTGCTGAGTCAAGCTTTCTGCAAGTCTCGTGGTGTCTATGTGCCGATCAATGGGAAGGAGCGTCATAGCCATAGAGATGTGTATCTCGAGGAGTGGAGACTACTTTGGGCCCAGTGGAAGTATTGATTCCACCAACTTTCTGGAAGAATTGGTTAGAGATCTGCCGCACGGGAACTGTAGTTCATTGCAGCCCACTATGCCGCTACACCCGAGGGAAGGGGCTTAGTCGCCTTGAACTGTGCAAGGCATGCGAAAAGATCATTACCAAAGAGTACTGGAAAGCTGAGAGGTCTGGAGCCACCGCATCTACACAAGTCACCACTAGCTCAGAGTGAATGAGCCTCACCTCGAAAGGGGGTGTGAAAGTGTGTGAGGTAGCGAGGTGCAGGCAAATGTAGTAGCTGTGAGGTTTTTACTTTTGGAGTGCATAGTTTTGCATTTCGAGTGCTTGAGCAAGCGTTCCTTGATGGAACTTTGTGTTTCGAAGTGTTTTGAGAGCCTTGGAGAGCATAGCTCGCGGAATGTACAATGTATAGAAGCTTTGTGAACAGAAGTCTTTGTAACTTTTGTAGTGTGAATGTTTCTTGAACAGTTTTGTGCATTTTTGAGTGCGTTTAAGCTCGACACTTTCAGTGTCTCGCATGGGAATAGCTTGTACGCAGGAATACCTCATAGCCTTTTGTACTTTACTTTGGCTCAAGGCCCAGAGAGTGCGCGTAAAAGTGGTGCGAGTGCTTTTGCGTTGCTTGTGAGCTGTTGCGCGTGCTTTCGCTTTGTGTTTAGGACGTTTGTAATCTACTTACTTAAGGTAGTAGGTTTTTCAGGAGAAGAAGAGATAAAGAGAGAGGAGACGGCGCCAGGTGACCCAAGAAGGGGTGTGAAATACAGCTGGTGGCACGTTTGTTCAGGGTGTGGATCACCCTAGCACCTGTTTCTAGCAATAATTTTCGTTTTCCAGCACTTGGGGTTGGGGCTGAATGGGGATCTTTGTCCTCGATGTGTTCTTTTGCCTTCTTGCAGGAGAAGGTGGAATGTGACTGGAAGTGGCTGGAGCACCTTTAGAGAAGCACCTGTGAGAGCTGTGTGTAGTTGGAGATGGCTTGAGAGTGTTTGGAGATAGTTCTTTGCCTTTTTTGGTACTGAGACCTGTTTTGGAAGACTGTGGACAGTCGAACCTCTTCAGAGAAGAGATGAGAGAACTTGAAGACAGCCTGAACAGACTGTGACTTTGGCTCAAGGAGCAGGATCGAAAAGGGAAGCTTGCGCGACCGTGTTTTCACATATGTAACCATTACAGGTGCATTAAAGACCTCTCACCCACGGTTGCATGTCTTAATCCACTAGAATGCACACAACTCCAAGACAAAGCAAACAGAGTGGCTCAGCCAAGTCTTTTTCACTTTGAGTGAGCAATGAACAATGGGGTGAATTCGCGCCATCGTTTGGATGGGCTTTACGATTTGAACAAAGTGTCAAGCTGTGTCAAGCTGTGAGCTTCACACTCTGTTCGAGCAGCAAAGCCCATCCAAGGAGGCACATGTCAAACTGTGAGCTTGGCAATCTGTTCAAGTCGTGAAACCCATCCAAACGATGGCACGAATTCACCCCGTTGTTCATTCAAGGTAAAAAACAACTGATTTCACTGTGTTTGCTTTGTCTTGGAATCCTGTGGCCTTCTAGTGGATCAAGAAACGCATCCAACCGTGGGTGAGGTCTTTAATGCACTTGCATGTGGCTCCAGAGGGTTGGGTGGGTGGGGCGTGACTTTGCCATGATTTGGTTTGTGGCCCAAGTTGCTCGAACCTCCCTTCCGTCCCTTGGCACTTTGTTCAAGTACAGCCCATCCAAACGATGGCACGAATTCACCCCGTTGTTCACTCAAAGGTGAAAAAGACTCAGCTGAACTTGCTCTGTTTGCTTTGTCTTGGAATTGCAGCCTTCAAGGCAGGGTAAAATTGAGAGGAGGAAGGTGCCGTTCCATCGTAGCAGATCTTTTGCAAACCACTAGAGGTGAAGTTCAGGGGAGGAAAAATATAGAGGAAGAAGGAACCAGTCCAACGCAGCAAACCTTTTGTGAGCCACCCGAAGGCAACTTTCAGAGAAGGCAGGAAGGTTCCAACGTTGCATATTTTTTGTGAGCCACGTAACGGTCAAATTTAGGGGACCATTTTGTGCGCCAGCCGAAGATGGAGTTGGAGGAGGCAGCGTCCACTCCAAGGTAGCAGACCATTTATGAGATGAGCCGCTTCAGGGCGACGTTCAGAGGAGGAAGGGCACATTCCAATGCAGCAGACCTGTTGTGAACCACCCGAAACTGATGTTTGGAGGAAGCAGGGGCGTTCCAATGCAGCAGACTTTTTGTGGACCACTCGAGTCTGAGGGGAAATTTGGAGGAGGAAGATGCCGCGCCAACGCAGCAAAGCGAGGAGGAAGGAACCATGCTGAGGTAGCAGGTTTTTTGTGAGCCATTTAAGGATAAAATTCAAACGAGGAAGGAACCAATCCACCGTTGCAGACCCTTTGTGACCCACGCAAGGGTAAAACACCCTCTTTGCTGCTGCTTTTCCTGTCCCTTCTGCTGCTCCTGATGCTTCTGCAGCACTCCCAGAAAAAACATAAACAATCACCAAAAAATATCCGAGTCAAAAAAATACATGACAACCCTTTGTTTAGGGACACATTGGACTTAACCTTGCAGCGCTTAGTGGATCAAAAAGGCGCGTTGCTTAACAATAATTGTTGCACAAATGTGCTTCACAAAGTGTCTTGGAAGAGTGTCACCCGCAAGAGTCTGTCTGAAAAGTGTCAAGTCAGTACAGTTGAGAGTGTCAAACACAATTTTGGGTTGTTTATATACGTCTAGTTGTTTGTGTTGCGTGCTTGTGTGCACTCCGTTTCGTGGGTTCCGGTCTGTTTCATCCAAAGAGATTTTACGCGTTCAATTTTACAGGCTCCAGGATGGTCATATACAGATAGGGGAAAATGCCATGTGTGAATATGTGTGATGTATGCAAAAACCATGGACAACCTAGGTATATGTTATAATCTATATTTCATGGCTTCTACTTCTACACAGCGCTTCGACTGGACACCCTTTCTGTAGCTTCGCCATGTGGCCGCGGCTGCTTCGAGCCAAAGCGTTGATCGAGGGCTTGGAAGTTATGTTGGAGAGTGGTCGGGCAACGCCGAATGCCTGGGACAAATTGGAGCAAGCCGAGGTTGGATTTTGATGACCACAAATTTCACCAAGATATCATCGAGAGATCCCCCCAAAAAACAATTGTAGTCAAGGTGTTATTGGCCACCCCTAACCTTATGAAACCCTCATTGCCAGCCTGAGGATGATTGATTCACTTGTATTGCGTGGTGCTGCTATACATGACCATTTGCATACTGAAACCATAGCCCACTTAAAGCAGCCGTGGGAGTTGAAGAAAAATATTGGTTTTCTTTGCAACTGCTTTGCGGTTTTCCATGATGTGGATTTTTTCCACTTGTTTCGGGGTGATGCTCGGTGACTCTGGGCTACCCAACTTTCCAGGAACTCTGCACGGTCTTTACCGATGAATCCAAAGAGCAGAAAGTGTTGTATGAACTACAGTACCGTGCAGAACACTTGAGGAATGCCTTCACCCTGAAAGAAACTCGACAATGTGCTGGAGGTGAGCGGGAAATTGGGCACACCCCTTTTGAACGATGGTCAGTGGATTATAACCCAGCACCGCTTGGGAGTGGCATTCCCTTTGGACAGCAGCAGTCGAACTTCAACAATCTACTTTTGCAGCTGTTGGCCAAGATTCGACAAGATAAGGCAGTGGACAGGTGCCAAAGACACCCTCCTGGAGTTCAAGAAGAGGTAGAAAAGGGAACGCCTCTGATGTTGGCCTGTTTGAAGGAAGACCTCACCAACATTTTGTCAGAGCTGGAGGATTTCGTCTCTGTGATGCCTCAAGGCTCCTCAAGCCGAGCTACTTCTATCGAGGATTGGGCGGGTTATGACTGGGGTCGCCAGATGGCCAGTGACCTTGATATGGTGGCCTTGTTTGATGGAGATGCCACGATTGCAGGTCTAGAGCTCCTTGGGGTGAGACTACAGGGAGCCTTGAAGTCCAAGTTCAAGATGGAGACTATGCAGACGGGCAAGTACGGCTTGCTTCTGAAGCTCCTGGTGGGCAAGTTGGAGGTTGAAATGGATGTCATCCCGGCAATCGCCGATCCCCGGGGAGGTCATTGGATTTTGGATTCCTCAACTTCTGAGGTCTTGCACAACCACCCCACGGCAGTCGCGGAGGAGGTCCAGCACAAAATTGCAAGTACTGAGGGCTGGGCAGATCTAGTGGTTCTGACCAAATTCTGGAATAAGTGTCATGCAGTGAAATGTGACGATGGCAAGAAGCGAGCACCTTTTTCATCTCTACATTTGGAAGCCACATTGTTAGGGTTACCTGGCCCATTGCCTGAACGTTTGGACGAAGCCTTTCTGCTGGCTTTGCAATTCATTCGGGGACATGCCATCGAAAGCCCGTTTCCCGCTGCTTGGACTGGAAGGTTGGTGGCGGACTATTTCAAAAAGGACAAGAAGAGAAAAAACAATGTAAATGGCCTATTGAAACGGCAAAGTGATATTTTGGAAAGCTTGATTTCAGATCCAATCGCTGGGGAAGACCAGCAAATGTGGAAGAAGGTTTTGGGCAAACTCGACTGGCTCCCTGAGATCACCGAGCAATGAGCAGAATCCTGCCGGTCGCCCAAAATATGTAAAAGCCTGGAGCTGACGATTTGTTTCCTTGCACTCATCATTTATGTCGATGATTTGACTCTTCTTTTAGATGCTTAACTTTCATTCAAGGTAACTAGGTAGGCAGTGCAGCTTTCAACTTGCGAACATCCCGAAAGCAAGAGCAGGCGTCTCACAAAAGAAGCATTGACATTCTGGTGTGTTGAAGCTGTGTTGACGGAATGTGACCAAGTCTCCGGAACCTACCGTTGTCATTGTCGATCAACCAATGGACCATATGTAGAGGTTACTACCTATTGAAACAACATTCATTTGGGTGTGTAATGTGTACTTCCATTTGTTGTGAAAAGTTCTTGAGATCTAGATCAGTTCTCTCAAAAAGTCAGTCGCTGACATAATCTCATGTGGTTCAGATCGGATCGGATCATATTTCGGGTAAACACCAGGTATGTCAGCCGCTATTTTAAAGACTTGGACTTTGCAGTTTGTGTGAGTGTGGCTCAAGAAACAGAATCAACACTCAGAACAAGTATACTAAAGCAGCTGCCAAATCACCGGCATTTTCTCAGAGGCGAAGGGATGATGTTGAATTCAAATGCTAGAATTTTCAACCTTCTCTTTGCCATGCCAATGAATCAGAGGTACTACCTGTCTTTCTTGCATCTTGGCTTCTGGTTCATGTATAATTGACAGCAGAGTTTGTGCGTTTTCTGATTGTTCAACATTCATCGTTGTATCAGACGCTACTGGAGATCAAATGCTAGGCCGCTTAAGTGGTTCACCGACGGATTTGGGAACGGTATTGCCATTTTGTGGGGTGAAGCCCAGAAGCGCCTCTCCAAGGTTGCCTTCCCTCTTCTTGAGCGGATGCGCCGATGCGGCGCTGCCGCAAGCGTGTGCACATCCAGATCCATCCATCCGCAGTCTCTGGGATGGAAGATTGACGTTCATATCATTTAGGTCGGTCGACAGCTGAAGCGCAAGCACAATGAAACATTTCAAACTTCTAGAAATTGCATTTGATAAACACAACTTCAAGATATGGTGTAATCTTGGCGGCTCAGAACTCACCCATCAGGGGGCCTCCATAACCGTTGCAATAACCAAGCCTTCGTGTAGGTCAGTTTGTTTCGGAGTGACCAAGGGAAGGCTTTGGAAGTCAAGACTCCACGGACCTTTAGTAATCAGATCCATCAGCTTCCGAAAGGTACCCTTTTTTGAGTTATTTTTGGTACAGGCTTTGAGCATCGCACTCAGGTGGTGATACAGAGGTCAAAGTGTACTTCGGCTGCGGCTGCTTTTGGCATGTGCAGCATGAGTTCGTGCGCCTTAGCCGCAGCGGTTTCGGGAGGATAGGCCATGATAGGCCACTATGGTCACACTATGGTCACACTATGGTCACACTATGGTCACACTATGGTCACTAAAGATTCAGCATCGGTGTTTGACTCCGCTCCAAGGGTCGACGAGATGACCAAGCTCTGCCGGCAAGATGGCCACTCCGGCTGAAGAGCAGACAGGAATTTCCAATTCTTCGGCTTTTCACGGAAGAGATATAGTTTGATCAAGGCTTTAGTTGTCGTGTTTGAATGCACCAGTTGCACCAGTCACCAAGAGTGTTTGAAGATCTCAATTATGCAGGAGACATCAAACCTCGTATATTTTCTGCGTGTATAAATGGAATTGAGGGGTTGCCATAGTCAGTTGTCTTCCGATTCTTTGGTGTCAGTGACCTTGCAGCTTGAACTTGAAATCAACGGGACTTTCTAGGTGGACATCTTTCTTCCTCAAGAGCCGGCCATTTTGTTGGACGTTTTATTTCACGAAGCTGAGGGCCACGTTTCGCTGAGGTAACATCACCGCGCGGACTGCATATGCTGGTGGGACTCACATGGACAATGGCTTCTTGCTCTCCGCGAACGGACAAGGGCAAGGTTTTTGATGGTTTTTGTGTTTGTACTAGGGACGAATTCATCAGCCAGCCAGAGCTATGTCGTTTGGTTTTGGAAGATGCATAGATGAGGGCTCATTTTACTTTTTCTGTGGGGGCCATTGCTTTGTCCTGAACTTAGGATTGGTATGTTACCACAACGCATTGGGAAAGGCAGGTTTCTTGTTCTCCGGATCGAGGGCCAGAGCTGAACAAACACTTGAAAAGACCAATGATTTGAGAATATTTGTTTTATTTTTGTGTATCATACTTCCTGTTCGATTGTCGCAACTGTTGGTTGGTAATTATTCCTTGGGTTGGGACCCACATTCTTTGACATCGAGGACCTACTCAAAGAAGTTGCTTGAACAGCTCAGTGAAGCAATTGCCTCCAACCTAAGAGTGGTGGCCTCTAACGTAAGGTTAAGTTTCCCTGAAAATCTAGGAACCAAATTAATAGTGTGAGCGCTTCTTCAAGGAAGCTCTCCCCCCCGCCTTTAGGGCGGCCGGGGGAGCTTCCTTAAAGAAGCGTGAGCTATCCTGCATCCAGTAGGTAGTAGCTTAAGTTGCTAGTAGCTTAGTTCTCCCTTACTTAATTAGGTAGGCGCCTACTTAATTGAGTAGGGAGACGGGGGCAGCGGGCCAAAATAATACAAAACATAGATTTTCTTGTGCAGGCGGACTATGGGCAACTCGGGCACTCCGAAGTGGTCTCAATGAGCGTGCTCCGTGGCTGAAGGATCGGGAGACTTGGGAGACTTCCGAGACATGAAAGCTGACATCTAACTAGTAGCTGAATCGTTACTAGTAGCGATGCACCTGTTATCAATAGCGATTCCCTTGTTACTAGCAGCTAGGAGCTGTTGTGCCCAGAAGTTATGAATTTTACATCGATAGAATAGTTTGCCTGTGGAAAGGATCAGAAAATCCCGATACTTTTGGTAGGTTTTGGCCTTGGTCATTTGTTCTTCTGCTAATTAATTGCCAGACAGGTTCAGTGAGCTACCCACATTTGTGGTGATCGAGACATGAATCACTCGGTTTCCAGATCCCACTCGTTTCAGTCGATCGACGAAGGCTGCAGGTCCTTGGGAAGACCCGTGTTCGATGTCCAAGGCCCGTCTCAGCTTTTGCCACCTTCGCGCAGACCTTCTGGGACATATGCCCCAAAGGACGCCGGTCGGTGAGGGCTGCGGTTTGACACGAAGTCTTTGCTTGGATCTGTCTGAAAGTCGTCGAACAGTCGCCTCTTAGAATTAAATTAAGAATAAATTAAAAGCTTCTTGTTACTACTAGGAAGGCACCTGTTACTACTAGCGTGGCACTTGTTCCTACTAGCAAAGGAGTCAGGAGAGATGTTCAAGATATTGGAGGCGAATATCGTTCCGCCCCTTGGGTGAAGTGTTTGTGCACTTTGCCCCAACAACAAAGAGAGGAAGAAAGAACAAAAGAAAAACACAGCAAAAGGTCGAACAAAGGACAAACACACATAAAACATATAAACATACATTACTAAAAGCAACAAACACAAGACAAACAAAGCAGAGTTTAAACGGAATCTAAAAAAGGGGAAAGACTCAAAGACTGGATGCAGAACTGAAACGTTGAAGGCCTTGGAAGGCAAATCTGGAAGGCCTTGGAGGTCACTGAGTCACAAGCGAGTTGGACCTGAGGTCGTCGGGCTTCCTGGTGGAATCCACTCGTCGCTGATGAAGGATCTTGCCTCATCTGCAACTGCCAAGTTGGTGCCTGGCACAGGCCTGCCACAGATTGGTGGATTGTTGACATTTTCTTGAACTCACAGCCAGATTTCTTGGGCAATGGTCATTCGCGGAGAATTAGCAGGTACATAAGTTTACCTACACAGATAGATTGCTGTGACCTCGCTGTGTGCGGGATGACATAAATTGGTCTAGCTCTCGACTCCTCAGCCGGGATCAACAAACTGAAGGTTCCGTACTTGATAGTGCAAGCAAAGACACTTTTAGTGAGTCAGGCTCAATCTATTTCAATGCCCATGTTGCTAGTTGTAACCTTTATCCTTTCACCATTTCGACATGGTCACAGATTGTCGGGCTGCAGGCAATGAAGGAGACACCTTGGGCAGCGACACTGTGATAGTCTATGATAGTGATCACTTCCCTGCTCATGTTGTGGCTTGGACGGAAGATGATGTTTGATTAAAATCGACAGAATTGATGGTGTGACAACCAATGCTGGGTACATATATATATATACATATATATATATATATTATATATATTACATATTTAGATTGATGCACACTTAGTGTAGCTGATGGGTTCATTGAAGCAACCGCAGGCTTGCGTAATTCTTGGCATTGCAGCTTTAAATACCCGATCAGCCACACGATGTTGATAGATTTTGCCGATGAATACCATCCTGGCCGGCCACATTTTCGGGCCCATGGGACCATGTTAGAAAGGCAGGGGTCGCTGGAGCTCACAAGGATTTTGTCTCTCGTGCCACCAGTACCACACAATTGAGCCCTTGGGGTAGCGCACTCTAACACCAGGTCAACCAAGTCATCTCCAGATGATGCAGTTTGAAATGTGGACCCCAGCAACTGGCAACTGGCAACAACTGAGCTGGAGGACATGCCAGCCACACGAGCTTCGCAAGCTCCATAGTCGCTTTCGGCACAGCAGGAACAACGCAACAAAGTGAGAGATCATGAAGCCGAGTTGAAAGAAGGCAAACCATGTTTCGGAGGAATTCCTATGTGTTTACTGTTTGACTTTGAGGTGTTCAGTGTTTCGAAAGCAGCCCGGTCCAGAGTCACTCACCTGGGACAATTCTCCAAAAGCTGCTATGGTACACTCAAAGACTTCAACATGGCATCTAAGTGCAATTAACACACAACTACAAAGACCTTGAATGCATTTTCTTTCTGTAGGTGCAGACCGCTGTTTAGCTGCTGCTGAAACCCAAGGCAGAGAAGTATCATCAGTTCCACGATGATATGATGGATCACTATGGAGGCGCCTATCACGCCCTCCGAGGATTTGCCGACAATACGAAATGCCCAGGGGACCAGTCCTGGAGCATCATCAGCTAAAGCTTTGTTGGTTTCAGGATGTCTCAAGTATGGGGCGAGCGACATCAAGTCTTCTGTCAACCGATTCGATGGTAACTGCTGGGTTCAGAGTTCAGGCATTCTGTATTTAGAGACATGACCCTCAGGGCCTTCATTGCTCCACTGCTCTCCCAATGTTGGATGAATGTGAGTGGTGTTGTGCATCAAAGTTTTCAGCAGCTGCACAGACTTTGGCTGCTATCAATGGCCCAAAGTGCAACCACGCCAATGGTAGACACTGGGAAAAGATCACCATGCATTCTTGGCTGTTGTTCGTTTTACCAGTACATTGCAAAGATGCCAGCGATTTGAATTTCTACTGAGAATGTATCCTCTAATCAACGAATCCTCGACTGATGTCATACCCGCTTTATGTCATTCTTGTGCAGAGCTGTTTGACAAGTCCGGGCGTCCATCTCTCCCGCTTTCACAACTCTTGGCGTGTTCAGCTTTTCTAGACTCAAATGAATCTGAAAAGGGGCTGCCAAGAGCAAAGACAACCAGGCTTGAATCGAACATGGCGCATAAACGATTGCAAATGGTGGCTCGTTGTCACACCCTCACAGAGGTACACCAGTACACCAGGGAAAACACGGTTAGAGCATTTACAGTAAAAGCGAGACGATGACGACTTTAGTGCTTGGTTGCGAGTGCACTTGGAGCCTTGGAGCCATGGGCAAGACTCCGCTGCCATGGCAAGTCCAGGCATAGTGAGCCAGTCGATGATTTTCACTGCCCCAAACAGTCTGTTCAAATTCAGGAGAGTAGTGCAATGTTCACATAGAGGGTTCTTTCTGCGCTTCAATGATTGACCTGGTTTAACCAGTTGGTCATCAATAGCCTAGAGGTCATAGGTTTGAGTCACTCTTCCGTTCTGATGAGCCGCTTTGCGGCAGAGTAGTTTCTTCGAACAGTGTCGAGTGTTTGGTGAGAAACCGCTCAGGCCGCCAGACGCGTGGCAGATGAGAACCTCATCGTTTACGCCGAGACTGGCTCTGGGAAGACCTTGGTGGCCGAGCTGGCCATTAAGGTTCCAAAACAATTTAGTGGTTGACCTGGTGTGGAAAGGGATGAGGGGGAAGCCCTCTTTTGAGCAGAGGAAAGCATTCTTGTGTGTTGAGGCTCCAACGGAGATTTGATGGTAGTTTGAGTATAGAGTGCTTTTTGGCATTCATTGAGATTCAGAGCTGCAGGCTGACCTGACCCCAAAAGCGATTTGGTGCGAAACCACCAGAAGTGTCGCGCCGTAGTGAGTCACAGACCACCAGCCCTGCAGGAGGCGCTCAAGCAGCAGCCAGAGAAGAGGTGTGCATTCCTAGTGCTTGGGCGCCCAGCTGGATGCGACGAAACCACTTGGCATTCTGGACAGGATGTAGTTCAGTTATATAGTTGCCATGCTTTTGCAGGTATGCTCTGCCCTGCTATCGGAGCTTCTCTCGTGCGGGATTTTTCCTTAGCCGCCAGCAAAATGGATAGCTCCCAATTTTTTTGAATCCGTGTTTCAGAGAACTTGGCCCCTTTGTTGATGTAGGTTAGGCCGGTTAGGCGTGTGAATAGTCTGGAGTCTCTCATCAAGTGGAAGATTTAAGTGTAGCCAGTGTAGCCTGTGTTGAACCCCCTTTGTCCAAGCTTCTTCCTCCGTGCGTCCGAGGACTGCAACTCGATTGCTGGCGCATCAGCAGTGGCAGCGCCTCTTGGACTCCCTGCGGGAGGAGGATCCATCCACGCTTTCCGAGGATGTGGTGGAGGTGACCGGTGCCTCGGACTTCACCAAGCCATGGTGGGCGGACATGGCCGTTGACCATTCCCAGGTCCTGAGGCAGCCTGAGGCAATGACCCTTTGATATCCAAGTGATCCAAGTGTATAATGCATTTGCAGCACATTGGTCTTGCAAAGGACGTTTCGGACAGAAAGTTTCGAGTTGCAAGTGTGTGCCGGGGGCAGGCAAAACGGTAGTCCAGTAAAGTGACGCTTGCACTTCTCAGCGCTACACTGCACTGTGCACTTCACCACATCAAGAACCTTCGCCGTAATCACAGGCCATCACACGTCACTTCACGGCAGATCTGCAGAGCACTTTTCCGGGTGCACTACACCTCACAACATCGCAAGTTGTGCAATACACTTCAACACATCACAAACCATGACATCAGACATCATCAGGTCAGATTGCGCACTTCCTATACACAATTCACGTTATATAGGTTTTCCGCCCACAGGATCTGCTGGAGGTTGACCTCAGTTCCTTTCAGCAAATGTAACGGGACTTGATCCGGAAAAGAGATGGGTTCTTGATAGAAGGAATCGGGACAACCAGTTCTTGTGTATGGAACAGTGTAAGCCCCGCACAGAAAGACCAGTGCTGGTGCACTCAAAATTCCAAGAAGCCACCGGCCATCTTGCAGGCTACACCACCAGCGACTGGTGTTTGGAGCAGTGGCGGGACTGCATGAGCCGTTCGAAGGTGGGGTATGTCAATTGTGAAGGTGGAGAAGTGGGATCAAGGTTTGGTTGCCGTTGCTGCGGGGTGCGATCGGACATTGGCAACAGACTTCAAGTTGTGCAGCCACAAAACAACTAGAGATTTCTTAGTGGGCCACCTGACATCATTTGCTGGAAGTGGTTTTGAAGTGTGAACTGAACACAAAGACCTTTTGTCACCAAAGTGACAGCCAGGTGCTGGTGGGCACCATCGAGACCCTTTGCCGGGCCATTGTGGACCACGGTTTCTTGGCAAGTGGAGTATAACATGGCAGGTATGATGGGCTAGGTGCTGTTTCTTCTTTGAGAAGGTTGCTTGATCAGATGCACTTGTTTTGCGCTCGAGGGCTCGAACACTACCTACAGTAAGGTCAATCAAGCCGCAGAGGGCTGTGACGTATGGCTCTGAAGAGTAAACAGGACCAAAGCAGTCAAAATGCCGGTAATGGACACAACCACATTATCTCTGTGAGGCTATCTCAGCTTGTCGGAATTCTCCCTTGTGGTCATCGATGAGTGCCACAAGGCACTGAGGGAGGTGTGTCGGTTTTTGTCTGCAGGAGGCTTGGAATTCAACCTTGACTGTCTCTTCCCTTCCCCACACCATCATGAGAGCTTTGTAGCTGGGACACCACTTGGCAAGCTCACTGAATTTTGGCTGTACTTCACAGGAACTACAGTAGAGGGCGAACGAAGCAAGCAAGGTGAGAGGGATTAGCGTCAAACAGACACGCCCAGCGCTCCGAAGAGATTGAAACCGTAGCCTACTGCCGCTTTCGATCCTTTGACAACCCTTGCCAGACCTCACCAGTCAATATGAACCCACCTCTTCATGTGCTGGATCTGCTGCAATGTCATCTCGCAATCACACTCGGACAGGCCACTGGCGACAGCCCTGGAGCAGAAATCCTGCACCGGATAGCCTCTTCGTCACCAAGGGTCTTGGGACTCACGGCATCCTATGCCAACGACAAGGCCACCACAGCGGAGGGCTTCCAGCAGAGCCGCAGAACCTTGCAGGCACCTTGGATTTGCTGATATGCATTTTGGAGCCTGCTTCACACTTGCTGAATGCGGCAGTGAAGTTTGTAGTGGAAGAGTCATTCGTGACACGCTCAGGCCCTTTTTCGTGGACAGGTGCACACCTGTGATGTTCCTCAGCGCCGCAAGCCGCGCTTCAAGAAGATTGAGTGACCTTTGAGACGTACGTGTATACGTTTTTGTCTAATCACCACGACAGTTCCAAACTCGCTGGGACCATGTGATGGTTGTTTGCCGTGATAACTTTCCGCCGCTGATGCATGAAATTGAAAGGCAACAAGGATGATGAAGGATTCACATGGCAATTCTGCAGACAAATGTTTGCCAGGTACATAGCACCTCAGCTTGGAGCCCAAAGGTTAGCCGAGGAGGTTTGCCACCGGCTTTGGGAAGAGCTGCGGAAGGCTGACGTGAGAGAACCCAAGGACAGAGAAAGATGGGGTTACTTGCAATAGAAGCCATTGGGTTCACCATGAAGTGCGAAAAACACATGCGCAGAGCCTATCTCCAGTTGCTGTTCTTGTGCCCTTGTTCAGCAGCAAGTTCACACTTTAGCTGGAAAATCCTTTTGTGATAGCAGGACAAAACTTGCACTGTCATTTTAATTGGTGGAGTGCAACACCCAGCATCCACGGCCCGCAGGAGGCACAACGACTCGTCCAGCAGATGGTCGATCTGCTTCAAGAGCTGGGCTCCGAAGCTTTTCTGCATGGCCTGGAGCATGGTGTCGTGGCGCAAATGGAAGGCGCGGTCGCATTGGCGCAATCGGATCCATGCAAGTGTCAGGGGAAGGGGCTGTGAGTTTGTTTCAACGCCATTCCTTGGCCTAGTCGACGAGTTGTTGATGACAAACTTTGTGACTTCATTTTCTGGGCGCTTTGTGACCACAATTTCCCCGGGTGACAGGTTTTCAACGCTTATCTGCAGTTAGGAGGACGTTACACTTGTTGAACCTCCAAAATGTCGCAGCTTGTTGTGGCAGACGCAGGCAATCGAAGCTGAGATCAGTAATATACTGTGCTTTTAAGTGCTGAGTTGTTGCTCGAGATCCACAAAAACTTGGGTTTGACAGGGTTGTGAACACCTGTCCAATGACAAATGTTCTTTGGAAGATGGCACCAACATCGCGCCAATATGCACGATGGGAGTTGATCCACTGCTCCAGGTCGCATTGACAACTTCTCCAAGATCTTGGAGAGAAAGTCATTGGCGCAGATTTACCAGGCGGGTTGTTGGGATCTTGAAGTTGCAATGAGTCTTTGCAGCTGTGTTTTTAGGATTTGTCAAGCCTGAGCCCTAAAGGTTTGAAATCTCATCTACAGCCATGCAACACCTCTGTTTCGTGAGAGTTGACACTGCTGACCCGGGGTTCTTCAAGCACATTGTAGGGCAAGCTAGGCAGGGTGGTGCCTTTGAAGAGCATGAGTAATGACTTGCATTTGTATACAGTATCTTATTTGGTATGCCAAGGCATACAAGGGATAGCTACAGTGGGAATTGTTTAGGGACACATCACGCCAGCTTGCAAGGGCAATCCCCAAAACCAGCTGTGTGCTCGATCCTATTCATACTCCGTAGTTAGAGGGAATATATAATGCCTCGAATCTAGAATCATTCAGATCTCAATCATTCAGATCTCCAGTGAGCAACCAACCGATTCTTAAGATTATCAAATTGTTGTGTAACATATCAGACCTCGGAGAATATGCGGGCATGAACTGCCCCAGGTTGATCTGGAAAAGTTGAAGCTGGCCCTGCGTGGGGTGGTGGAGTCCGTCAAACAGATGGACATCCTGAGGCTTCTTCCGATGGTCGGAAACATGTTCTTCAGTAGAGTGAAGATGCAAATAATGTGGCAATCAACCATTTGTAATCCTACAAGAGCAACGGTTTCTTGACGCTCGCGTGAAGAGTTTCATGCAGCAGAAAGTTGGGCAAAGCTGGGTGTATCCAGCTGAAATGGTTCTCCTTGGTTCTCCTGCCTTAGGACATTCCGCACATGTTCCAATCTCACAGCAATTCAATTTGACCAAAGCTGCTGAGATGGACAAGAATGTCAGGAGCTTTGATGCAAGCTCTCCGAAGCTCTGTGCATTGCTCCGGTGCTTGGAACAAGAATTGGGCACAAACGAGACGTCTTGCGGAATGGTCTTTGTTTCAAAGGCTGGATTTAGGGGTTAGACTAGCTCACAGACAGTCGAGGATCGGAGGGTCAGACTAGCTAGCGGGAATACATTGCGTGTGCGTGGCACTTCCATCGCACCTCAAGCTTGGTCCTTGACCCACTGGAAAGGGAGGAGTGTACATGAAGACATGTTTAACAGTGGTTTGCTTCTTGGTCTTAATCGCCATTATTCTTACTTCTTGATAAGTCATCAATTTATGTGTTGGTCATTAACAAGATAATGCTTATTTTGGACCCTGCTGCAGGTGGCCTTGGCTCTCCCGCTGGCTGCCGTGTTAGAGCAGAAGCTAGCGAATGTCGCCATTGGCGCGGTGAGCGGGGTGAATTCCATGACGGAGCTTTCGCGTGCCTGGCAGTGGACTATTATGGGTGGAGAAGAGGTCGGTGTGGTGACTGCTCAAGGTATACTTAGATTGTCCACCCCAATGTGATCTAGCCTCATTTTCTGCAGAAGGCAAACGGATCAAGCCGTTATTCCTCGGCACTTGTGTGCCGCAGCGTCGCCTTACGCACTCAGTTGTTGACTTCGCTTGGGTTTCAACGCTATTTGTTTTCGATAAGACCTGGGTCCGATCTGGTTTGCCATTTCAAAAGCTTCCAGTGTGGATTTCCTGAGGCAACAAGGCATTCTTGGATTTCCGAGAAGGCCGCACTCGGCTCCTCGTGTGCACCCAGTGCGCGGAAGAAGGCCTCGACGTGGCTGAGTGTGGCTGGGCGAATCAATCGCGCCTGCTGTCAGTTGCAAATCAACCATGCTTTAGCGTCCTGACTTAGTCGCGACGAAGTAGGTCCAACAACACTTCAGTAGGATGTACGGTACTGCAAAACCTCTGGGACAAAGAGAGGTGTGGTTTTGGGAAGGGAGATTGGACTTGAACATCATTGACATAGCAATTGCTTTCCTTGTGAATCTTGGCTCCACAAGTGCAACACCTGCTTGTGAAAGTTGGGTCAGGGGGAAGGGAACAACTTGTGTCCTTGCCCCAAACGCAGCAAGGTGCTATGATCAATTTCGGTTGCGCGTTCAGCTACGAAACCACGCCCAGGCTCCTTTGTCATACGCTTCCAGGAGTTTGAGACCACCCGCAGCCACGTGCAAGGAGTTGGCCGCGCGAGGAAGGAGGAGACGGACCGTTCTTTGTAAATTCTAAACTGTTGTTCTTTACCCCTGTCACCGTGGTGTTTTCAAGTGCAGAGAACATGCAGAGGCTTGCAAGTATCAGTATCAGTTGCTGGTGGGAACACACGCGGAGCATATTGAAAGGAGGCACGCGTCTACTATTTTGAGAACTGCCCCGACTTGGAATGCCAACGTGCAGAAGCAGCTTGCAGCAAAAGTGTTGGAGAGATGAAAATCCGAGGGATAAAGCGGGAGACCATAAAGCTAAAGTGAGCTGACAGGGATACACAGTTTCTATTTTCTGCCATGTGGCGGGGTTCTTTTTTGGGTTTCCTTGTATAGGTCCTTTGCTCTTAGGTCATGGACACAGTAGCCCGAAAGGCTGAGGCGCGGTGACGCGTCCGAACAACATTGGTGACACTGATAGAGCGGGATGTTTGAACTTGTTTATTTGGCTCTTCATGTGCTTGTTTTCCCTTCACGACTCATCTCCAAGACGGTCTCTTGATACCTCACTTCGTCGTAGAATTGACCCTGACCATGTTAGCTGGATTCATCAACATCGTTGCGGTCGATGGAGACTGTAGACAAATGTGGAGTCCATGCAGGCGGTGATCCCTGTAGCGCTGCCTCCATACTGCCGAAGGAGCGACGTGCATCCCTTCACAGTGCCTGGAAGTGGCGCCGAAGTGAACTTCAGGAGATCTGCGGGTTTGTTTCGGACTTGGTGAAGTCGTTCGACTACCAAAAACAACATTTTGTGCTTTGTAGATCGCACTGGTTCCTGGGAGCATCTTCTTGACCGTCCATGATAGAACCCTTCATATTGGTTTTGTTGGCATGCTGCGTTCTTTTGACTACATGAATATTTTGTGGCAAAATTGCTGTTGCGAGGGTCTTTGGCGCACTTCATGGATCAATTTCGATTAGGCTTCAGTCAACTGACGAGTGGGCTTTGTCCCTTCGTGGTGAGCTCCAGGAGTGCTCCTCGCATTTTGTCAGAGTACATTAGCCAGACTGCAGGAGGCTCCTCGAATTCACTCAGACTGAAAGACTCTCTGTCAGTGCGTGATCATCAACTTCATTGTGCTGGAGGCAGAGGTGGTAGGTCCAGGCTTGTCAGACAAGGTCTGGTCCAACAAACAGCAGATGGGGCTGCCATTGAGGGGAGTTGGACATTTTCCTGGATCGCAAATCAGTTCGCATGAATGCAAGATCCGAGGCCTATCTTTCAAGAGTCTGAAGGTTGATGGGGGTGTCTTATTTGCTGGCCCAACAGGGGGTCTGAAGCTCTTAGAAAAGGACGTATGACGCTTGGCTGAAAGTCGACGGTGTAAGATTCCTAACGGATAGGCGATCTCTCGACCTTGATGAGTCAGATAGGCGTGTGTGTTCCAAAGGCTCCACTTCACAGAAAACAAGAAGAAACTGCGTCGCAGGTGGAAGGTAGGTGTCATGTGTCATGTGTCGTTTGCTTCTGAACAAATTTGTGCAGAAATGGGTAATTACAAGTAAAAGCCAAAACCAATTGATGCAGGGAAGTAGCTGTGCACGGGGAAGTGCAAGTACTTTCTTTGCAAGTTGAGTGGGTCTGAGAACTGAGCATGATTGATAGATTTTAGGCACGTTCCCCCGCACGAGGAACACATCAGCAGCGGTTGAAATAACTGCGAATTTCTCGTCTAAGGCAGGCTGATGGCGGAACATATCGATGTGGACACCGACACATTATTGAAATATGTGTCGGTCTTGGCGCTCCATTCTCAAGGGTGGCTAGATTGCCACAACACTGTGCCCAAGCGCATCCTGCGACAATCTGCCAGGTGGTGCTGCCATGCCGTTGGTGGTTGGTGAGAGACTAGCCAACGGTTCCATGAAGGTACCGTATGTTTTTAATTACTTCTCATGGTGTCATTTGGTGTTACAATATTTTGACTGGCTTCTATTTCGACCAACTTTCAGTCATGTGCTAGAGCAGAAAGTACGAGCCATCTCAACTCACCCCTTGGTCCAAATCTCTTTTGGAACCAGTGTACAATCCCGCTAAAGGCAACATTTGAAGCTGCGCCTAAATGTTGCGAGTTGTTTACATGATCTTGCAGGTGGTACAGGTCTGCGCTAGAAGCAGAGCCAATCGCGTGTGCCTTGGAACCAAGATCTTTCAATGTTTTTCTATAGAGAACCTGTCCACATGATGGCTGGATACACAACACCAAGAGCAATTTGTGATGTGAGGTCCAGGACCTCGGATCCAGTCTTCGTCACTGGTGATAGACCTGTTTGTGCAGTCTTATCACATTAAAGGGCTTGCGAAGCTCAATGGTTGGCGGCATGCCTATATCATACCAGTGCTTCACCAGATCACTTAGACCATCACCCATCTTATATTGTGTGCTTTCAGGTTTTCTCCAACCTCATTTCAAAGAGTGATGGTGGGGAACTCCGCTGCAGCAGAGCTCCGGAGACGATCCGTCCCGAGGTCCGGAGCTCCGCTGCTTGGTCTCCCGCATCTCGCCATCGGCGCCCGCCCACCTGAGCAGTCGGGAGCGCACACATGTGGCCAGCGGCGCAGAGCAGGCAGGACGGGAAATCGTGATGAGTCATCAAGGTTGTCTGATTTGAAGGCAGGCCAGGTTTAACAGACCTCACCTTGGGTCACAATGGTTTCGACGAAAGTGTACGTTGGTGACTGCTGGCGCATATCTTCGAACCCGGGATGTTCTTATAATGTTTTTAATTTTCTGGAAGATGCTTGGAGCTGGGGCTGAACTCCCATTTGATTTGCACATTTGTTTCAAAGAGGCCTGGAAGGCAGAGGGTTATAATCTGATATATTCGCTGAATTTCAGAATCTCCACATTGTTTTAGGATCAACATGTTTCCAAGGTACACGTATGGCGTGTGTCATATGACAGTCTACACGACAGAGTCCCCCTTGGAACGACTAGCTCGTTTGGAGGTGCTTGCAGGTGAACATCAATTTGGACATAAGTTTCCTGCGCTTTAGTGTTCCCTGCATCTCTGAGCCTCCTGTCATTGCACTTGTTTGGCTCCATGAGCAGGTTGAGCTGGGCCGTCGACGTCTCAAGCCTGATGAGATCTTAAACACGCAGGCTGGGCGGGTTCGGGTCCGTTGCCCAGGCCGATTCTTTCAGAAGATAACCAATCCAACTCAAATCTGACATACTAGCTACTAGTAGCAATGGCCTCCAACCTAATAGCGATGGCCTCCACCCAGTAGCTTCTTGTTACTAGCTTCTAGCTACTAGTACTCATCAACCTTCTCGCAACGGACATCAACCGCAGCGCTGCAGTTGACGGTCAACCAGACCTTTTCCAACGGCAGCAATGTGCTTCAAGCGATGGCAGACATCGTCTTGGGTACAAAGGACGTCAAGGACAGGCAGACATCGTTTGTGTCCGAAGAACGAAGCGATGATTTAGTGGCAACCGTGGTAAGCGGGACCCTGCTGAGGTGGTCAGTAGCTTGCTGAACAACTTGTGTCAACTGTTGGTTTCAATCATTGCATTGCGACGAATAGCTTGATGCAGACTTTTTCTGACCAAGCAAGGCGTTAAGAAAGGCAAGGTCGGGGGTATTGCATGGGAATCATCGACCGCGAAGGTATAGTCCGAATTCTAGAGGAAAATTCCAAGTCAATCTTCTGATCTTCACTTGTGCTTCTTTGGCTTTGTGAGGATTTTCCTTGCATCAGGGTCGCTTGGAGTGTGGCTGGGCAATGCTGGTATTCAGCGGACAACCGGCGACTCTTCATCTTCAAGGTAGTGATGCCTTTGATCGACCTGACCGACATCGAGGTTGACGAGATCAACTGGACCTCTGAATTCGACTGTGATCCAGATTTGCAAAGAAACTTTTTTCTTTCTTCTTTTTGGTGATTAGAAGAGATTCACTAGAATCACTAGAACATGACTTCCTTAGCATTCAAAACTTTTTGAGCTCTGTGAACAGTGCAAGGTAAAAACAGGCAAGCGGAAACTCGGATTTGGATTCATGGGGAGTGGGTGCTCAACAAAGTAGAACAGACGGAAGGCCTGCTGCTGTGCTTTTATGTTCTCAAGCAGATCTGCAACGCAGCCTGGGTACCATGTGGTGCATTGAGAACAACTTGCACTAAGGAAAGATGGGGGAAGGTGTGGGCGACCCACGAGAAGAGTGTGCGACAAGTGCGTCACAAGCTTCTTGAGCTCTTGGCTGGACAAGGTGATGAAGGAGATCCTGAGTTTCATGACGAGGACGAGAGATCGGCCGCTGGGTCTTCAGAAATGAGCGACCAAGACAGACAACCTCCACACGCATGTATACATGTGTAGGCCCTTTCTGCATTTGTGAAAGCTCCACAGTGGTAGTGGAACACACATCGAAGCAATTCGAAGCACATGTTTGCTTGTTCTTCGAGCGGACGTTCAGCGAGTGTCCTTCGAGTAGCTTTCACTCAGGCAAAACCAGCTGCTTCCAAAGCTAGACAACGGGATATATTAGCAGAACGGCGCGACAGGGTGCCGTCAACGAGCAACATTTTGCATCACAGGGTTTTGGGTGGAAAGCAAGAAAAACGGTTGTTCGCCTGAGCTATAGAAAACACATCAGTTATTCGCACGCCCGTAGCGCCCTTTCGAGGGAGCAGAGGCAAGAAACAATTTGATCCAAGCCCAGCTAGTTGGTTTCCTTAGTTTCGTGGTCCCTTTGTGCAAATGAGCAACTTGTCTTCACATAGATTGGGTCTTGACACTGCGTTGAGTAAAAGTACTGCCTTTTTGGTTTGGCAGTTTTTATATTTTCTATTTTTTAAATCTGTTTCGAGTGGGGTGCCAGTCTTCTTTTCCTAGGTGTTCTTAGCTTTCTCATCTCACAAGTGCCCAATTGTTTGGTTCGCCCATCAAAGTCAATATCCTTTTCCATGGAATGTCACACACTTTTTTGGTCGTTCCAGCCATGCAAAGACATTTTGCAGACAGAGCTGCGGTGCGGTGGAGGGCAAAATTGGGAGCTGAGGCATCGATTCTTCGGCGTTTGCCCGATGCAGCTGTTCTCATGGACGGCGTCGATGTTCGCGCAGAAGGATCAGCCATTTGCCCCAAGTGGAAGGGCTTTTCAAATATATACATAGAACTCCTTCGGTTCAATATGACAGAGTAGAGGTGTGTGCGTGTGTGTGGCCAAAGTCAGTCTAATCATGGTTTGTCAGTTCCTTGGAGCATCAAGGCCGAGGTCCGGGAATAGCACTTACGCAGTATGTTGGTGGGTCCCTCATGGCCAAAAGATACAGCTGAGTACCTCGGACTCCTTCGTTGAGGTGTCATTTTTCTACGCTCGGAGCCTGAAGTTCTTGATAGAATGAGACAAACTGGTCATCCCAAAACCCCAAATGCAGAAAACAATTCGTTCAAGTCGTCCACAAGGAAGCAAACGAGAAGCAAACGAGAGGTCTCCTTGTGCTCCTGGTTCGTGAGGTTGGCGCACACCATCAGTCCGAGCTCTCCAGGCACGAACTCGAAGTGGTCGTGGGCGTCCTTGCTCCGTTCGTAGCGATGCCCAGGAGCCCCTAGTAGCGTCCTTGCAGGGCGGCAGGTCACTAAATGGACTCGCTATGTTGTTCAACTCGGAGCTGTCAACTTCTAAACTCATCGGTGTCGACCCAGACTCAGATGATTTTGCAACTCTGTTTGGCAGGCGCAGTTCTTTGATGAAAGCTTCAGTTCCGGGTAGCCCTTGCAGTTTTCCAGCTGCCCATATGCAAAGTGAACGCCTTAAGGGTCCGTTTGGCATCCTTGGCCTCTTTTGGGTGACAAATAAGGCAGCTGGAAGCTGTTTCTATGTTCTGGTGAGCGCAGGCCTCCTGTGTAGTTGTAGTTGATGGACGGAGCGCAGGCCGCCTCCAGTTGGTAATGTAACCCATGCCTCCACAAATTTCATGAGGGCAACGTGCTACAAATGTGTCTTTGCGCAGCAAAGGCAGTTTAAAGGAAAGGTAGAGGGAGCAGGATGGGGAGAAAGATCAGAGAAAGGACAGGGTAGATCGCAGCAAAGTGGAGACCTCAATGTTTCAATCACGCAAATCTAGATGTTGTCCCCAGCAAGAAGATCAATTCCCGCCCCCTCACAACATAGCCATAGCCAAGCAACGTTGCAGGCCCCAATGGGACCGGACTGGCCATCCGCAGGCGAGTCTGATTGTTCTATGGAGAAAGTCAAAAACAGGAGAAGGCCAACGCTCCAGCAATGGCCACTTAATGTTCTACACATCGCAGAATACTTCTTGAGAATGCTTAAGGTGACATGTCCATATAAGAACATCTAGCAATTAAGGTGGTAAGTAGTTGCACCTTTTGCTAAGAGCCACTTCGTGCAGCCTTCCAGCCTTTGCGTCTCCATGCACAGGGGCAGCTTCAGGCTGATGTTCTCGAAGAGGTGGGGTTGGTTTGAAAGCCATTGGGGTGGCTTGCGCTTCTCAACAGAGCATATGGGGCGGAACGCAAGGAGGTCGATTCTTTGGAATCCTTAATCTCAGCTACAACTTGTCAACTTTGTCAATCCGGCATGGTCATGTGCCTGATCAGCTTTGGCTAGGTTGAAGATCGTGGCCGTGCGCCAGAACTGCAGGTTCGACACTCATATTGCTCTGCTGTACGGGCAAGCTGATAGCTGATAGCTACCACATTTCACGTAATATGGCTTCATGTTCTCATTTGGAGGATGCTTACCACTTGCCAGCAGCTCCCTCCCGCAATGTGGCCTACTTGGAGGGCACCACGCGGCCGAGCACCAAAGCGGCCCACGCCGTGCAGCCGACAGCCTTCCATCGTGTGCTAGGCGAAGCAGAGCCGGAGCGAGAGCCCCTGGAGCGCATGGAGGTGATTCAAGGCGTTTGGGGATCAACGATGCTTCACGTTGCACTGTCACTGTACTTAGCTCGGCCACTCATCCACAACTGTAGTTAACCGCAGAATTTCGACGGCTTTTGCATGCTACTGACCCGGAGAAAGAATTTTCGCCTTTTAGATTCATGTCTCACGCATTGGAGAATCAACGCCAACGCCGCCAGCTGGACGTGAAGGGAATTCATTGATTGACCTTAGGAAAGGGAAGGGGCCAGGATTGCAAGAAGCAAGGCTTGTCCGGACTGGTGCGCAGATCAGGTGGCAGCCCTGAAGCGGAGGAGCTTCTCCGACGTGTGGGGCTGACCTTGTCGCGGAGTTGCAAGCGCGAAGACGAGGAAAGTGCGGTCAGTCTTTTGAAGGAGGCCCTGGAAGGCCATTGTCGCCTCAAGGAGCGGGATCAGGAATGTGTCAGAAATAGCCAACACGGCTCGCTTTGACTTCCAGAGCTGTAGTTTTCCAGATTCCACAAGGGGCGTGTCATGTTGTGTTTGCGCCTTAGCTTTTGATTCTAGCAGCTTGTTGGCACATTTGCCTATCCAGCACCCTGTGTCATGAATGTCTTCATGATCTAGTCATCACCGCCATTGTTGGCATGGTGGATATGTGAATATGAACTGTGGAGTAAGAAAGTCTGATTCGGAGCTTGACAGCTTGACCTGCGACAGCCCTGCCAGGATTTTGAGGAACTCCCATGGACTTGGCAGGACTTCGGTGACAAGAGCTTTCGCTCCGTGGTGATCGTGGCCGGGAAGCGCTTCGTCGGGGACGAGGTGCCACGACTGGGTGGCCACTGAAATGCCAGGAGTTACCTTGCTACTAGTAGGAATGCCCTTGTTACTAGTAGCGGTGCCCTTTGCTACTAGTATATAGCTTCTTGTTACTAGTAGAAAGTGCCAGTTGTCTGATTTTTCTCTCAAGTTGTCTGATGCCTCTCGCGCATCTGAACTGAATTCTTGCTTAAAAGGTATTCCAATTATATACATGATTCCACCACAGCTCTGACGCTCCTCCAATATTCACGCCGGACCCAGTGCCCAAAACATCGAACAGGTATTCGGTCCCGGCTCAGACAAGTGCACAGGCCTGTTGACAGCCTCTTGTCGCACAGGCGAGCAACAAGAAGTCGGCCAAGAAGAAGGCTGCACTTGCTGCCATCCGAGGCCTTTGCCAACTCGTGGAGCCGGCAGAGCCCTCGGCGGCGGAGCCGCCTGCGATGTCCTCGACGAGTGAAGGGTCGGAGGACTCTTGGCACGTCGTGCGCCTGGAAGATCTGGATGACATCGAAGTGGTGACAGCGACAGGACAGGAGCAGCCAGTTTTTTTTTTGGTTTTGCCTGGGTTTCGCTCCATCAAAAGGGAAAGAATTGCGTTGAGAAAAGAAAGCTGTGCTTAAACCATGCGAAAGGTGTGTAGCAGAGTTTGCTTGGACTAGTGGACAAAGGTTTGTTTCGTGAGAGGCCATGATGTTCCAAGTGGCTATGTACGACTGGAGTTGGTTTTCGAGCCTACCCAGAAGTTCTTCAACCCGAAGAATGAATTGCTGGATCACCTTCAGGGTGCTTTAGGACGAAGCCCAAGTCCGTGTCTTGGTGGAATCGAGGATTGGTCGGATTTGTGGACTTCTAGAGATTCGGATTTTGGTTCGTCCATTTAGTCGAGGGTGTGGCACAACGACATTCTTGTCCATGTTACATTGGATGCTCAGCGCGGCAAAGTTTCTGGAGAACTTGTAGACCTCAGATGAGTTCGTGCATAGTTCACAGAGTATCGAAGTGCCTCTCACAATTCACTTGGCTCTTCAGAAAAGAAGGGCGCAGCATCACCATCTTGACCGGCATGCTTCTCACAACCCACTCTCCGTCTTCCACAGGTCCGAGCTGCGCTTTGCCTTCAAAGGGCGTGATGGCTTCTGGCGCTGCCGGGCTGAGGCGAACATGCCAATGCTGCAGGGCAGCTTCGAAGGGATCCCTGCCGAGAGCCAACGGCCGCATGGCTTTTGAGGGGGAAGTGGAGATGAGTCTCGACTCTGAGAACAGTTCGTTGCTGCTTTGTAGCTCTGCTTTGGTGCTACGACCTGGCTCGACAGAAACCCTGAAACATTCAAGGATTCACCAGAACATGTTCCAAGACAGCATCAAGTGGCGAGGGATTGGACATTGCATTTGTCAGCGAACGCCCTCCGAGATAGCCAGTTGGGGAATTGGGTCCCTCTCTAAGGCAGGCTGAGCAGAACGCTGCGTGGCGCGTTGTAGAGAAGATGAAGTTGATCCAGGTTCGCGAGATGGAGAAGACCTGCACGGTGAAGGACATTCTCAGGAGAATGAGTTGAACGAACGTCCGATTTGCACCGACTTTTTGAGGTATAACAAGAAGCTACTAGGGGCTCCTGGCCTTACTACTAGGAGCAAGGGCGCTACTAGGGGCTCCTGGCCTTACTACTAGGAGCAAGGACGCTACTAGGAGCTACTGGCTAGCCTTTAGAGTACCCTGTTTATGCTGCGAGTAGGCTAACTTCTGTGCATCAAAGCTGCATGTTGTTCCGAAAGGGCAGGTTTGATGCGGCAGCTCACCAGAAATAGTCATGCGATGGAGCTCAACTTTGCATAGCTCCCGGACAAGCCGATGTATTCTATCTATGTATTCCCTTGTTCCGACCCCAAAACCAGAAAACTTTCCGACGTGTTGTGACGTGAACTCACTTTGGTTTGACGAAGGCGGCCAAAATGAGACGAAGGCAACGAGTTGACACAACAAAACACGGTTGAAGGATGTTGGACCTTTGATCTCGTGCCTGGAGCCTGCGAAAGACCCACAGGACACTTCCAAGCGAGAACCTTGAGCTCCTTCAGGCCTTGGGATGGAACTCATGTGTTGGGCCGTAACGGAAGCGAGCTGTGTTGGGCCTTGTTCTGAGGAACTCTGTGAGGAAACGCTCGAAAACTGTCAGCGTCATCCTCAAAAAACTTTGGGCAAGAGTTGTTCAGCTAGACGAAGGAAGGGAAACTCGAGGAACATTCAAGGCGGATAAAGAATCTATTCCCATTACTGCAATCGGTGGAACGACTAAGATTCGCAGAGGTTGTCAGTTGCCAAACTTACAAGCACGTCTTACAGGTTTGGTTGTTTCAAGAGATGGACCGATGGACAGGGAATGGTCGTTTTCACCCTGCTCATGGAACCACCTTGGAAACTGCCGGGCCCCCTAAATCGCTAGTGCCAGTTGATGTACGTGACCAGCAGCAAGTGTGTGGTGGACCGGAAAACACTCCTTAATGATCCTTAAAGCCGCCAACGGCGGGCGCCAGGATGGCTCCATCCTGTCCAACGACTTGCGGCTCTCGGAGCTCCGTGGCGGCCGTCTCGAGGTCCGCGAAGCTGAGCCCTGGTGAGACCGGAGGTTCCACAGAGCCAAGAATGGAAAAAACAACATTTATGGTTTCAACTCGCCACCCAAAACTCTGTGACTGCACATAGATAGTGGCAAGTAGTGCACTGGGAAGTGGAACCTTTGGAAGAGATTCTGATGGATTTGAATGGAGTTTGGAAACTCATTCTGCACATAGAGATTGCTGGGGCAAGGTATCAAAACTGAGCACAAACATGGAGACGACATTCAAAAAACAAAGGACCAGATGTTGCAACACAGTCAAGATGACACCTATATACTGTACCTGAGTTTTTAGTTTGTATGGATTTGATCCCCGAGTTGCATCCGTCGATCATGGCCGAACTGTCAAGATGACGCCGACCTCGGTTGACAATAACATCACACCACAGAAACTTCAGAAACCTTCCATGTGGTATTGACACTGCAATATAGGGACATTCACAGAAGTTGTTTATGCTACACCCCTGCTTTGTGGATGAGCTGAAAGTTTTAAAAACAGTGTTTGTGTGTGTGGTGGCGGACATGGAAGACAAATTGGCGGTCTCATATCTTCTAGTTCGGTGCTGCCGAGCTCAAGGGTGGCTGACAGAAGTGCAAGGCCAAGAAGAGCTAGCAGCTAGCAGCTAGACATGAGTTCCAAAGCGGGCTGCGCATGGCTGCGCATGGATTCAAAAGCCTTGAAGAGCAAGGGAGCTAGCTGTGCTTGAGAATCAAGGAAAGGGCTCAACCGTTTGCAATCTTGAAAGGTCAACTCTGTCAACACGTGGGCATGCTAGGAGTCCTGCTAGGAGGGGGGACCTTCCAGTGGACAGAGGATTTTTGCTGCTCCTTGGCAGAGGGTTTATGGCATGGGCTGAAAGTAGCTTCTATTCTCAGCTGCAATGAGACTGTGTTTAGATTCTAGATCTCTCAGGCCTTTGATAAGCCAATTAGCTGACATTTGATGGACATTCCGCAACAAGTTTGAGAAAGAGATCTGGCATTCTGGATGTCTTCTTGGCTCGGACTTACTCCTTTGATGCCGATAGCCTGCTGAGAGGCGTGCATTTCTGATGGATCCCCGTCAGTAGTGAACTCTCGTGCAGGCAATAAAATGAATGGAGATCCACAGAGAGAAGAAGCACAGCATTTCGCATGGGTGCACAAGTGATATCATTCTCTCCCTTTTCATGCAGCAAACGTTTGGCTGCCGGCAGAGGCATGTTCCTCAGGCAGAGCCGGCTCTACAAGCCGCCAAGGCATGTCGGCATTCAATTTATTTGGCAATTAATTGATTCTACAAAGCTCCTTTCTGAACTTTCTTAGTTGAGTATGTCAACCATTGAGCAGATTGCCAACAGCGGATGCCTGCTTACCACTCAGGTTCCAGCACGGCCATTTACCCCACCTGAAGAGTTGACCAACAAAGAGTGACCTGCAACACGTTTCGAAAGATCAGCGCTTCAGGATCCCCCCATGACGCAAGTCACACTTTTGCTCGTGAAGTATTCCTCACGGTCTTCCTTCCTCCACAACGCCATCCCTTTAACCCAATCTTTGACAACCATTGACAACCAACAGTGTGTTGATTCAGTGTTCAAGTTGTTAGTAGAGACATCATCTCACTTCGACCAGTTTCCGTTTCGGCCACTGTGCCCGGCCCCTTTCGGTCCCTGTGCCCCCCTCCGAGTGTCGGAAGGACGACTGTTGACTGCACATCATGGCACGCCGCCAGCTGGCGCTGGCGGCCGCCACCCTCCATTTGCCACTCGGTTGATCTTGGGAGACAGCGAGTTCATCCAGCAAACAGTGGTTGCGATGACAAAGATTTCTAATGGTTGATGGTTCCATCACAATTCCACCTGGGGAAGGACATAAGTTGGTGAAACATGCAGCCAAGCAGGGACTAGAAGCTAGCAGGCTGTTCGACCATGTTTCATTATACATAACCGTTTGTTCTTTTCTTCTAAATCTGAGATAGTTTCAAGCTTCCATGTATTTCACCTCTGTGTCTTTGAGAGCCTAGTTTTGATTTCATATGTCCACCCGCGGTCCAAACACTGCTCAGTGGATTTCTATATATGGACTCACTGACCCTTGGAGGTTAGTCTGTTTTGCAGATGGCAAACAGATGAACCATGCACCAAGCAGCGTGACGAGGCCGGGTGTTTTTGCTTCTGCCGTAATTTTCCGAATCTTACTGGAGGCCGTACCTGACCCATCCTGTAGTAACACGACTGTGGTAGCGTTGCCTTTGGAACGCGGGTCACATCGTATGGCCTAGCCATCCATCATCCTCCAAGCTGACGTGTCCTGTTTAGCGATACTTTATGTGTGAACTGCTTCTTGAGTTGCACCGACAGTACATGTCATTTGGCTTTCAACGTTTACTTCTATTTTGGGCTCGGGGTTTTGCTTCAAGTTGAGCCAATAACCAGGAGCACATCTGAAGCCAGTGAAGCCCAGCAGGGCAAGTTTCATAGTGCGCATGACGTCCACGCCATCACCGCACCGTCGCACCGCCGCATTGCCGTGGGCGAACGGCTCGCAGGATCACACCCAACTCCGTGACCGCCAAATTAGCGACGGAGATCACCTTCACTGGGGCGAAGGATGGAGACAAGGTGCCATCTAGAGCTTTCCGGAACTGAAGTGGGTTGAAGCGGCGCGGGCAATGGTTGGCCATGCAGAACCGGAGTTTTTTTTTTTTTTTTTTTTCAGGAGGAAAGATCCATCAAGAGACAGTGCTTTTAGGGAGACTAAATGACTAACTTTTGGATTTTGTGCCCATTTTATGAAAGAGCACGTTACTAGTAGCTTCTTGTTACTAGTAGCGATGGCCTCCAACCTAATAGCGATGGCCTCCACCTAATAGCGTCCTTGCTATTTTATACCTACAAGATGACTAACAAGTGGATGCCAGGGCTCTGAGGATTGCAACAGAGCTTCCCACGACTAGAAGGTCTCCGAGCTACTGGCACCGTAGAATTGCAGACACGGATAGCGATCAAACACAGAGCGCCACCGCAATCTCCTTGTAATTGTTGTATAATTAATGCACATCAATACTCTGACACTTTATTCAATTATGTATTGTATATAGCTGTATTGTATATACAATGCCTGTAATGCTTCCAGTCCCCTCCTTTCGGCAGTGTTGGAAGATGACCGCCACGGACCCTAGGTGCAGTTTGCACTCCACTGCGGGAAAGTGACCTCTCCTTCCTCAACCATCGAGGGAGGCAAAGCAACGCGCGGTGGCCAAGAGGGCTTTTGTGATCCCAGCATTGCCTGTGTTGCTGGAGAGCGCGTGGTCCCTTCTCGCATTTGTAGCGACATCCGAAAGGCTCCATTTGCTTGGAAAGCTTTGCTTATTGATCTCACCTGACAGCTGTTTGGTGTTGCGTTGGATTTTGGAGACCTTGAAGCAGAATAGATGTCTGAAGCTTCATGAGAGGCGCCAAAAAGTGAATTGGCCCTCCCAGGATCACCATAGAGGATGAAGCTGAAGTGCTAAAGCTTTGCTACCAGGCGCTCGCACCATCACATGTTCTCCCATATGATGATTCCACGGTGCATCATGCTTTCGTGTCTATGGCGGTATTGTTGGACAAGGTCTCCAGATGATGGTCGTTAGGAGTGTGTAGTTCCAGTCTGCGGCAATGCTCAAGACCGACCCTTTTGGACTGGGTAATTACCCGCTTCTAAGACTCTCTCAGACTCTGGCCATTGTTTTGCTTTGTCCACAATTGATGGTCAGGCTGAAGGCCACGCAGTTGTGGAGGAACAGACGAGCGTCACTTTAGCGGTTGTCCGATGCCCCAGTGAAAAAGGGTGCCGGGCGTAAACATGCCTCTAGCTTGAGTCTCTATACATGTTCTACATTGTGCATGATTTTGGTTTTACTTCTTTTGTATCCTTTCGGAAGGCTTGAATATTGTCAGCACTCAGGTCTCACCCACTGACACAGGCGCAGTCACGAAGCTCATCCCAAGCACTGTCACTCAAGGCCAGGAGAGGATGCCCTTGATCCTGATCTTGAAGCATTTCCGGTATCCCATTCCTTCATGAAGTCTAAATGACTGGTGTGTCTGGTTACGCCCGATCTTTGTTGCAGGTACAGCCACCCCAATTACTCTCACAGGGGCTGCGAAAGCAGCCAAGGCGAGGGTTTCGTATGAAATCGAGAGGCGAGGATTTCTCACCCATGATCCCAATGTCCGAGTCTCTGAGATCCCTTTCACGTCCTGTACAGAAGCTACTAGTAGCTCCTGGCATTGCTACTAGGAGCAAGGACGCTACTAGGGGCGCTCCTGGCCTTACTACTAGCAACAAGAAGCTACTACTAACACTCCGAGATCACCAGTTTCGTCTGTGCACACAATGAAACCACAGGAATCTTGGACAACTTCTGATGGCATGGTGCATGCACGAGCTGACTGGTCCTACGGGTTGTCCCACCGATCCCTTCTCGTCTCATGACATCTATGTTTGAACCTCTTTTTTGACACAGGCAGTCTTCGTCCCAGTGAGAGCGAATTGTCGAGACGCTGTGCCGAACGTGGACATAGACCGGACCGGAAAGGGTGTCTTCACCATCGAAGGCGGGAAGACACGTTCTGCGGTGGTCTGGCTTTGTTTATTTTTGTCTTGCTAGGTTCCCGATGTATCATAGAATGAAGATGAATGAAGAGAGTCCTCTACTGCATGAGTATTTATCTATATGGTATATGTATCTTTATGTATCTTTATATACACATACACACCATGTAAGCTAGGCTTGAATTAGTTGGTGAACTGCCAATTAAGACCAGCAAGCTCATGGTAGACCTTCTCAGGCCAAAGAGATCAGATTGTCTCATGCAACCACCGGACTTCGTGCATGTGCAACCCGCCGGACTTCCGCGGAAGCTGAAGCTGCCCCCCCAAAACCGCCAGGTCCCGGTGGGAATTATAAGCTTTGCTATCAAGCTCCCGGTGGTGGCGACTCAGTGGAGCAGAACCCCGAAACCGGGGCCATTGCCCTACTGGTGGAGCAGGACGGACATCGTGGGACGGACACAGGTCGGGTCGGGTCGGCCAGTTCAGAGAAGGTTGGAGAGGGACCAGGTGAGTAAATCCATTCATTCTGGGGATGTGGATTCCAGGGCCGGAAGGAACCATCCCAGAGCACTTAAGAGCCATGTGGAATAGTGTCAGATTGGTTCAGGTGGGCAACGAAGGAGTTTTGATATGAGGAGGACAATCACTTAGTGCGAGCAATTTGCTTTTCGGGATGAGATAGCATATTCGCAAGAGGTCTTTTCCTGCAGAGAGTAGATTGGCAGGTTGAGGCCACCAATGAGAATCACATCACTTCGATTAGCCCAGCCACCGTGACCTCCAATGCACGGGCGCCTAGTGAGGAAGGAAGATTGGCCATGTTTCTGAATTTCTGCGTAACCATAAGTGTTATATAGGTGTCTAAAGGCAGCGCGCAGTGACCCCGTGTAGTCAAAGACTGAACCCAAAGGTGATTGCAAGGATCCATGCGGACATTTGGGGAATAACCTCGACACAGCGGTTTGTCGCTTCAGGGTGCCCTGATTTACAATCCTGGCACTCCTGCACCTCAGGAATCCCACACGATCACTGAGCTTTATCTCGGACTCTTCGGGTGAGTGCGACATTCGGGCTACAGAATGGTCGCCTCTGCCTTTCTCAGCTGACGAAAGCTTCTTCGTGAGGCTTTGCAGTCTCTGCACCGCCTTCCCCACATTTTTCGCTGGGGAGGCGGATGATCAGTCCCTTATCCCAATCTTTGTCTATTGAATACCAACAACCGGAAAACAGCTCAAACCGAATTCATCAAGAATCTCAAAGATGGAACCAGAAACAAGGGTCAAGGGAGGCCTCTCAAAGGCCCGCAAAGCTTGCAATGGCTCAATGAATGGAAATTGGCGAGCAGCTGAGGATACTGCTTGAATGAGGTGCGCTCCAATCCAAAGACTCCTTCATTGGGCTGGCCACAAGTCCAAGCAATGCAAGATCCGTTCGAATCCTGTCATCACATCTCGAACTTGTTGGTCGGGTGCGACTTCGGACCAGAAAGTAACAGTCTTGATGTCCCATTGGCGAGGTACAAGGAGCGCCCACCATCGCTTGCGTCTCATTGGCCACACTGTCCAACCTTGTACCTGGCACTCGGCAAACTCAGTCAGAAGAGCTTGTACATAGTTGTTATGCTCAACCTGAGGGGCACATTCCAGGACGCTACTAGGGGCTCCTGGCATACATTGACGTTGATGGATCATTCGGAGTCCTGCGGCCAGTGTGCTCAAGTTCTCCTTGTTGGCCCCCACCACTCGAACAGGGCTGACGTGGAAAGCCCATCGTGGCAGTTGGACAGATTATCCGAACTGGTTCGTGGAGAGTGCGAACAGCCATTGGATCTGTGAGATCAAGCTGCATGACTGGGGCTGCACTGTTTCAAGTGGGTGACTGCCAACTCATTAACGTCTACTTTAGGCAAGGCCTAAACTCCATGAACTTTAGACATCTTTAGACCAAGGCCCAAACCACCAAATCCAGCTAAAAGATCGATGAACTCTGGCCAAAAGCTTCCAGGCTCTTGCTAGAAATCAAGCCATCCTTTCTGTAACCTCCAAAGTCAGAAGATCATGGTTGGACATGATCTCTGCGTCATGCACCGAAAGCCGTTCAACGCCGGGATGCTTGCCAATGAGGACCACCGGCCGCCCGTCCGCCACCTTGCAAAACAACATCTCCTCATCCAAGATCCGATGGATCTGCAGGACCTGAAAACTCACCTCCGGGTTCGAAGGTCTGCATCCTGAAAAGAAAGACATGCCACCAGAAAAGGTCTCCCAAGTGTGTCGTAAATGGCCCCACTGAAAAGACTTGGGCCAAGGGCCTAAGGGCTCGAGCACTGAGCAACAACCTGCTTTCGTGTAGCACCACCGGTGCATAGACGGCCGTTGTGTTTCGTCTGTTTTTTAGCGCAGTAGTTTGCCGTTTCTTTCAGGGCCGCTGGGGAGGGTCATTAGTAGTGCTATTTTTGCTATGTATGCATGTTCAATGGGTCTTTACTGTAAGTGTTTCTTGTGCATTTTCGGTGCAGGCAGGCGTCACACTCATTCATGGTTACACACTTTCTCCGGTGGGGGGGTGGGAGGAAGGCAATTTGCGTTGCACGGGGCACTATGGGCTTATGGATGAAACGACACTTCGCGAAAATTCGATTCCTCAGTTGACTTCTTACGTTTTTTTTTCTTTTGTTTTGCTTTTTTGTTTTGGTTCAATTCCTTGTCCTTCGTCGGTGTCCATCATATCCGTTTAGTTCTTCAGAACCAAAGTAGTTTGGGGGGGTTGCTAAAAAAGACAACAACATGTACTTCTCATTGTAGCGAAACTCTCATTGTACACCCTCCCCAGGCAGGTTGCGGCTTCAATGAGACAAATTCCCAACGTCTCCAAAGTCTAAACATGATGACAAACTCCCCCCGGCTGTCTACGCACCGCGGACCTAGTTGCCCAAAACAAGAGTCACCCTGGATGATCAGAAAGATCGCGATCGTGGCTATCATCTTCAGTTCCTTTCATGCTTTGAGAATCAGTTTTGAGGCCACTCTGAACGTCCATCAAGAAACTTCATCGCAAGTGGCTGCAGCCATATCACCAACCTCCTGATTGGGAGAAGGGACAGGACTTGGAAACAGAAGCTGGGGAGGAGGATGCCTTGAGACATTCCTTCATCGCTACTGCCGGTTTGGCAGCTTGAGGTGGCCACCACACTGAAGCTTGCTGGCGCGAAGCAGGGAGACAAGGCAAAATTCATTGCAGGGACCTCCTCATGCCAGCTGTCAGCACAGCCCAGATGTGTGATTTACTGTGAAGACAGCAACCTTGATGTTTTGCATTTTTCTTGACCACCTCTCCAGGGACTCTCTAGACTCTAGACACCTCTTGTTTGGGCTAGCCAAATTGAAACAACAACATGTGCCTTCCAATACGATGCAACAGCACAAACTGTTTCACCGAAACTCGATCAACTTGCTCCAGTGGACCTTCCGAGGTGAGGCGGAAACACCACCGGATAAGGATATAGGTGCTGGGCATGCCTCCTTCATCGTGAGCGGCGCTGGCACTTATGTCCTTTGTGTGACAGCCTCTTGGTGTTTAGAGGTTGAAGATCCATTCGAGCGGAGGAAGAGTGGTTTGTTTTTGCTGTTCTGTCTCGGGGTTTTGATCGCGGCATTTGATCGAGTGTTAGAGTATGACGACAAATTCAAGGAGTGGTGAATGGTGTCAATAGTATCATGTACCCTGTGGGGCTCCTTCGCAACTTGGGGATATGATAGATGGACAATGATAGATGTGGGAATCATCGAACCACTTAACCAGGCCTTACACCAACCTCCTAGGGTGAGCAGATTGATAGGATTCACAAATGGATCGTGTTTCTGAGCTCATCATTGCAAGGCCAAAGGAGCTTCCGATTCTGTCCAGCAGGAAGGCGAGATAGCTGCAAGAAGGGCAGCAGTTTGGCGGTTTGGCGGTTTCAGAATGATTTGGTGTGATCATGGCGGAACCTATGCGGTCAAAGAAGAGCCCCAGCCTTTTGGGTGGACGAACGCTCAACGCACATGGGGTAGGACTTTTTGCAGAAAAAGAGATCCCTGCTTTCGGATGAGAGCTCACATGCTCACCAGTCCTGAACAGGTTGCCGCCAGAAGGTCCCTAGCTCCCATTAGAGGACCCACCTGAAGCAGGAGCAGTGGTCACTGTAAGGGCATTTTGTGACGTCTATCGCACTCTCCCAACTCCAGGCATCACTTTGACAGTGATAGCTGCGGGTGCAGCAAGGAACATGCTGGGAGCCCAAGTAGTCAAGGCATTGCTCTGTGGGCCCACTGGGGGCAGGGCACCCCGTTCGTTTCGTTCCGGCTGACTCAGGGTGGGCCGGTGGAGCAGCAAGCAAGGGGCCGTGGACTGCTCCAAGTTATCACAGGCATGGTGGACTGGCAGGGGCATTTTAAACATCTCTTCGGTCTCGGTCTCATCTCTTGGTGCCTCAGCTAGGCCGAGCTCAATCCCACATCAGCACATCCCATCTCTAATCACATCTGAAAACGTGCTAGGCCCTAGTGGAATACATACACAGACCCGCAATAGACTCATCCACCCAGGTATTTTGCAAAGCTTCAGTCACCGCAACTGCACGACCAGGTTCCCTATTGCAGCTCTCAAGGCGAGATTGGGCTTGTCAGGATCGAACGTTTAGGCAGCTTCATCCAAAGTGCAACGGCCAATGGCCAAACTGGGGTAGGTTCATGTTTGCGCTGACAGAGTTCCACGCTCTCTTTCCGCCAGAGATATGTTCACTGAACCCTCTTCTGAGGCAGTAGCACCTGTGATGGCAGCTTTGCCATTCAGTCAGGCATTGGTAGTAGGCTCAGCAGAGGATTGCACATTGAACGGACAGGAACTGCCTTGAAAACGTTTCTTGAGGCCAAGATGGAGGAATTTTAGATAAATTGCCGGTAGGCAAGGCTTAGAACCACATCCGACAAGAATCAGAGGGAGTCGGATTGAATCATTTGACAACTGATGCTACTCAAGAGTTGTGGGTGACACAGCCCTCGCACATCAGCGACTCAGGCTACAAGTGCTTTTGGAACACAGCCATTTGGCCTCCCAAGTGCGATGCCGACATGTCCACCGAAGAGCGAGGGATGATTTGCCAGCACCTTGTTGGCAAAGGAGTTGGGTTTCCTGAGACGAGATCTCAGAAGGGCTCAGCTTTGATTGACGGCACACTTCTAAAGCACGGTGTCGACAACAGTATTCACTGGCAGGAAGTGCCCACACTGCCGTAACGAGATGATTTATCATTTGCGAACGATTTATACACCACGAAGCACAACTGTACGGTGTACCCCCGAGTCAGATCAATCTCTCCCCCCCGAACATCACAGCGAATCCACAAATGCGGATTCTGCCCCAGACATCAGACAGCTGTAGCTGGTGTAAAACTCCATTCTTAATTGCACTACTCAGCCAACCCCTCAACGGCCTGGTGCGCTGACCTAAAGGAGAGAACCGAAAGTCGCTAAGGTCCAATTCCTGTGGTGGCTCACCGGCCATGTGCTGGTAAGGCTGGACACATCATGTAGTTCTTCCATTGCGGGGCCTCTGGCCTCCAACCTACAAGCAATGGCCTCCAACCTAAGGTATTTTGTGTTGTTTGATTGTTGTGGGGCTGGGTGTCCTGTCATTTTCTGGATGGTCGATGCGGGTGTAAAGGCCATGCTGCAAACAGGCTGCTGAGGACCAGCATTCATTTGTAGGTGCATCAGCGTGGGTCAGCAGGTGCACTGGTTCATCTCACTTCATCCTCCCACTTCCGCGGACTGACAGGGTCTAGGGGGTGTTGGTTTCATTTCCAATGTCTTGCTGCTTCATCGCACCACATGCAGATTACATAAACTGTGTGTGTATGTATGTGAGTGTGTCTGTCTGTATGTATGTTCTGTATGTCTGTATGTAAGTATGTACGTACGTACGTAAGTATGTATGTATGTATGCATGCATGCATGTATGTATTAATGTAATGTAATGTAATGTAATGTAATGTAATGTAAGGTATGTGTGTATGAATGTATGAATGTATAAATGGATGTATGCATGTATGTATGTATGAATGCAATGCAATGCAATGCAATGCAATGTAATGCAATGCAATGCAATGCAATGTAATGTAATGTAAGGTATGTATGAATGTATGAATGTATGAATGTATGAATGTATGAATGAATGTATGAATGTATGAATGAATGTATGCATGCATGCATGCATGCATGCATGCATGTATGTATGTATGTATGTTGGTATGGTATGGTATGGTATGGTACGGTACGGTATGGTATGGTATGGTATGGTATGGTATGTATGGTATGTATGGCATGTATGGCATGTGTGGTATGCATGCATGTATTGTATTGTATTGTAAGGTATTGTATTGTATCGTATCGTATGGTAATGTAATGTAATGTAATGTAATGTATCGTATCGTATCGTATCGTATCGTAATGTAATGTAATGTATGGATGGATTTTTTTCTTCTGGAGGGTTGAGCTCTCGGTGCCATTTTGGCGGTCTGTGGGATGGCCTCTTACTTCAGTGCCGGTGGCGTTCAGAAGTAGTCTACCTGGGCAAGGCCTTCGTCTTCGCCTGAGATGCCCTCATCGACTGCAATCTCGGGGTCATGTGTGTGTGTGGTGCTGCCTCTTCCTCCCCTTCCGGACTGGGTGTCATGGTCGGTGGTGAGGCTGTGCCATTGGCCCTGAAAGTGGCCACTTCTGGAGATGTCTGTTCTGAGAATTTCAGCTTTTTCGGTGCTGATCCATGGGTCCTTTCTCAAGTTTCTGTGGCACATGGAACCTGTTGGACAGGTTTAGGGACGGGTGATGAGCAGACGAAGGATCTTCCCTTGCCCCACTTCTTTTGGTGCATCTATACCAACAATCCATCTTTGGGGTGCCTTGGCTTTGTGGGGAGAGAACAGAGGATTTTATGATGAGAGAGGTCGGGACAGGGCGCCCTCAATGACCAGGCTCGCGCACATCCTCTGAGCTTCCATCGCTAAATGTCGATGAAGCTGATCCGCACCATGGAGAGACTCATGCTAGACCAGAAAGAGGATGGTTTTGGTGCATATTCACAGGCGATCCTGTTTCATATGGGCTTCTGGACTTTTGGTTTCTAGCCTGCAATTGACTCAACACAGCTGGACGCCCCCCAGATTCTTTCTGATAGAGAGAAGAGGGGTCTGCAAAGATGGTCCCTCGGTCCCATTACGTGCACCGTCCATGGAACCCGCCCAAGAAGTGGATGGCGTCGCCGGATACCTTTGCATTTAGCTGCTTGTGTGGGCTGCTGTGATGTGAACAAATATATACATATATATATATATATAGATTCAACATCATGCAAACGCTTAGGGTCTAAAAGCCTTAGCATTTCACAGGTTTATCAGCTTTTTTGGGATGTGAAGGCATCAAGACATGAGGCTTGCGGACTTCCTTTTCTGCATCAGGTTCATAGTGAGCTGTCTTGGACATGATTGCACGACCGGAGATCGCTAGCTGTTCATCAGCAATGGTACATGACCGCAAAACCCAATAGTCTAAAGGGCAGAACAATTTGTTTGACAGAACAGAACTGGCAAAAGCAATACGACAAGATAAGACAGAAAGAGTGAGCTCCCAAACCCTTAGATGGTGCATTCTAGGCAGAACAATTACGTTTCAGGGTTTTTTGACTAGAAGAAACCATTTGGTTCACTTGCCATGCGTGCTTTATCTTTGGCAGCCAGAAGCTCAGCTCTTCCCAGCCACAGGTGGTGTTGTACAGGGAGGTGTTGTTTCTTGCGTTTGCGTTTCGTGAGACCTCCCAGTTCGACCCCCTGGCAGCAGATGAAGGATGAAGCTCAGGGTGGCCTCCAGTGAACAGTAGATCATAGACTGACCATAGATAGTAGTTGACCACTACAAGGGAGGTTGGATGCCACCAAAGATAGACGGTGCCCTGCTCTTGAGCAGGCTACCTTTGCATTTTTGTCTGCATGTACACATCATCTCATGCCCAAGGTTCCACTTGCGGCTATTACCGCAGTCTACCTGTAGCTTGGATCGCAGGCACTCCTACCTTCAAATCAAAGAATAGATCCACTGGAGTCATTTCAACTCTATGAGTATCCCTCTCACTTTGAAGTGATTTATGGAATTTATGACGTGCCATGATCGAGGCAGCTTGTGAGAATCCACCAGGAATTGCTTGTACCATATCTAGCTGTATGCACAGGTCACAGGTTGGGAAGTCACTTCGGGCCGCGCGTATGCTCCTGTACGCTTCGGCCGCGCGTCACCTGCGGTGTGTCTGGCAACCTCGCGGTCCCGGCCGCGGGCGGCGGTACGACCCGTGTCGAGGCCCAAGCAACTGCAGCCAGCTCCGGGGGTGTGAAGCTTGGAGATCTGGCCTTACTACAAAAGAAGCTACCAAGAGCAAAGGGCATCGCTCCTAGGAACAAGAAGCTACTAGGGGCTCCTGGCCTTACTACTAGGAACAAGGACGCTACTAGGAGCAAGAAGCTACTAGGAGCAAAGGGCATCGCTCCTAGGAACAAGAAGCTACTAGGAGCAAGAAGCTACTAGGAGCAAAGGGCATCGCTCCTAGGAACAAGAAGCTACTAGGGGCTCCTGGCCTTTCTACTAGGAACAAGGACGCTACTAGGAGCAAGAAGCTACTAGGAGCAAAGGGCATCGCTCCTAGGAACAAGAAGCTACTAGGGGCTCCTGGCCTTACTACTAGGAACAAGGACGCTACTAGGAGCAAGAAGCTACTAGGTTCAAGCGTACATTCACTGCGAAAGGGCAACTCCCTGTATCATGTTCCTCATGTTCCATTGGTATGCCAGAGGTTGAGAGCACTAGGAGTGCATCACAACCGCGGCATTTCCTGCATAGGCTCTGGTGGTACTCAAGATCCAAGGTCGAGACATGGCTGTTCTTCGACGGAGTCAGCTACCCAGCAACCGACAGGAAACTGTCTCCTCAGCAACTCATGCAGTGAAAGAGCCGGCCTGGCAAGGGTTCAGCAAGATTTATCCCTTTCTCTAACGACCCAGGGCTGCGGGGTAGAATGCCTGAGGAAGAAGCAGGGACTTACTTGACCAGCTTGCAAGGAAGAAGGGATGGTTCAGTTTCCAGATCCAATCCCTTACTTGTAGGTTGGAGGCCATCGCTATTAGATTGGAGGCCATCGCTTTTAATGTGCACCTCTGGGCACCAGAAGTCGACCTGACCAGGAGGAGACCCACCACCTACAACTCCATGCTCAGTGCCCAGGTCTGCAACCTTTGTGACGGCTTTGTGAACTTCGTCTATGCTGGTGATTCCCAAGGTCGTTGGAAGCTCAGCGAATCGTCTTGGGCGCTTTGGATCCACTAAAGCTTGAAGATCACACCTTCCCCACTCCAATCCCAAACATTTGTAGATGTTCAATGATTTTCATTACCAACACCACCTCTGACACCACCAGGAGATGAAAACTCAAAAGCTATGGCCACACTTTTTCGGTTGTGCTTTGATTTCATCATTCTATAATTGGATGCTTCATGATGTTTACAAGGTGGAAGCCACTATGTCAAAACAGTCTTGGAAGACTATCAACTCCAAACCCGAGAAAACTCTGCTCAGATCCTCACATGCTTTTTTGAGGGGTCCGCTTTGGTGCCTTACAAAAGCATCGAGAGCTGCTTTAAAGGCTGGCAATCTTGGACGACGCATTCTTGGCCATGTTTCAGGGCCAAAGACTAGGTGATGGCATTTGCGAGAGAGGTTTTGTAGAGATGGTTGGGTCAATAGGTTTTGATGCTGTGATTGGATACTTTTGTGGCTCATCGCCAGGCATGGTGCTGGGCGCTATGCGGAAGGAGGCGAGGAAAGTATGTTGGGAGCTCATTCTTCGGAATCGAAGTCGCCCCGAAGCCTTGGTGGTTTGGGTGAGCAAAAAGGAATGCCAAAAGGAAGCTACTAGGGGCTCCTGGCATCGCTACGAACGGAGCAAGGACGCTACTAGCCTGTCGATCTCTTGGAGCCAACGTCCGGCTTGTCACTTAAGGTCCACTGTGGTCGTGATTCAAGACGGTCAGGCGAGGAAAGATGTGAAAAGGGTTAAACAGACACATGCTTAGAACTCGTGCACATGGAACGTGCTGCACATAGGCAGAGTGGCGTTTTACCTTTCAAGCTTGCAACCACACCTGCAGCGCCAGGTCTTTATCCGCTCCTCTGCAGCACTCAGAATCTTAGCGGTTATGGATCAGCCTTGGAGGTGGGAAACCAAACAAGCTGCTTGCGGAGCTTGGGCTGTCTTAATCAGGAAGACAAATACTCTGTCCGTTGTTCTGGCATCATATTTCATGGATTGCATGGATTGCATCCATCTGTGCGTGTTTTGTGTTGTGTGTGTGTGTAGCAAATTCATCTGCGTTTGCCTCAAGTGTAGAATTCGACAGGCTTGCCATTCAGTAGTGGGCCATCCAGACTCATCCTCATTCGTTCGACCACTTGTTTGGTGCCAGACACCCTCTTCAGAGGCTCCTTTGGAGGTTGGGGAACGCTTTAATGGGTCGCCCACCCGAAGACTCCCACACGGTCAGGATGCTTGCGGTCTTCTACTTGGTACCTCTCCCCCTTCGGGATTTCGTGTGCCTTGGACTGCTGAAGAACACGTGGCAGGTAGTCATCAAAGCCTACATTTCTCCTGCACCTACAGTCTACAGAGACTACAGCTTCAGTCACTTGGGGTGTCCTTGGTCCCAGATGTGATTCACATGGTCAACCATGGTGCCCTTCTTGCTGGAACATTTCCTATATATCACTCTGCGGCTTAAACCGAAGACCGGTCCGATCCACCCCGATTCGTCCAGAATCTGAGGTATCAACTCGTGGGGCAGCACCGCTATACCATCTTTGGTAAAAAGGAGCTTTTGGAACGCGACCTGAAGCAGCATCTGCACAACGTTAAATGCTTCTGTCAAACTGGATGTCCCACGACGGAAGTACTTGAATTTGCTTTGACAAATGGCAATAGGGTAAACAAGAATTGTTGTGTGTGTTGTTGCGCTTCTTCCTGGCTATTCGGCCATTCTTGTCCTTTACGCTTCTCTCAGGGGCGGCTGTTGCCGCGGTTCTGTTTGCTTCTACCAGACGATGTAACAGATCAACAGGATATTTGTACATAGATCCCGAACAGAAGCAAGCCAGAGAGAGACACATCATGGGGACACGTGCATGACAGACATTGCAGCCAGGAGCAGTGCATGACTCCCTCTGGCGACTTTAAGAGGAGGCCTCGTTGATGACCGAATCCGAATGTTCATGAGGATCTTCGGTTGATATCCAGAACCTTCCACAAAGAGAGATTCTTTGTCAGGTCCGACACAAGCCGACTTCTCTTTAGCTGTGCTCGGATGTTGAATTGTTGGCTTTGGAGTGTGACAGTGTTGTTCATTCCAATGGAAAGCATGTCCACTGACCCTGTTGCAGCCCTCTCGTGGTTCAGGTTCCTTGAGTATGATGCCTCGGAGGACCGTCATCCCATCTTCCAATGAGTTTGATGACCAGAAAGCTGTCGATCCCAGCTTCCCAAAGAGAATCTTTGTGGTAAAGCTGCAAGTCCAACAAAGACTGCTACGCAAGCCAGTTGCCCCTGATGCTCACTCAGCCTTGCTAATTTAGCCAGGCAAAAGACTCGCAGAACGTGCCAAAAACGAGCTTGGAGAAGGATGATGTATGGTTTGAGGGGCTGTTGGGTATAGTAACCCATCCTGTCATCAGACCCCCAATGATTGCTTGAGCACACTGACGGGTTTGTCCCATTTGTCCAGGCTTCCACCGAGCTTTTGGGCTCAGAGGACTTGCACTCCTTGTACTCTATCTCTAAAGGAAATCCCGCCACTTGGTGGAGCATCTTTCCAAAGCCGGATCGCAAACGTAGGCAACGGAGACGCACTAGACAGGTGTTCATTTGAGGTTCAAACAGACAGGGGCGACCATCACATGAGAATGAGCAGCATGAACGGTCTCTCTCTGGCTGTTTGGTGCTTCTTCTGGCCGCTATGACAGCGGATTCAGCAGATCCAAGCTGCTCCAGCTGCACTTGGTCATAGCTGATGTGCAGGAAATCTACAGTCCAGACTCCAAAAGCAATTTTTTTGGGGAATATCAGATACCATACTGAGAGTATAGGGATTTAGAGGATTCAATACGGCTTGTGAGTCCATCAGTTTACAGATCTTTGCATGCCTGGATTTGATGGATCTCTCGATGTGGTTCCCTATTCGCGAGCTGCTTGTACAGTAAAGCGTATCAGGTTCTGCAACTAACCTCCTTTTGCCACACAAGAACCTCATAGCCAGTCGGAGATGCCAAGGGAGCGCGGTTTTCAAACGGAAAAACATGGAATCGATTCAACTGTCTGAACACTTGGTTTCCGCGTTGAATGCAATGCGGTACTGCGTGCCCCAGCACTCAGTTTCCCAAAACATCTAGGAACCAAATCATGAGTGCGTGAGTTATCCTAGGTAGTCGCTACTTAAGCTACTAGCTACCTAGTTACCTCTACGGCCTACCCCCCCCCAGGGACACGGAGAGTGCGACTCAAGGATCCTTCACCATCTCCTTGGGCCGTTTGGGGCCTCGTTGGCGCCTAGCATTGGACTGCCTCGAGGAGTTCTGCGCGGCAGCTGGACAGAGCAATGCGGCTTGGTACGTGGATTTCAGCGTTCGAGGCATGCATTTTGCTAAAGCGGACGGGTTCGGTGCTTTGGATGGGGACCTGAGAAGTAACCTAGGTCATTACCTCCAATGCGCTTATTGCAGCCTCTGAGAAAGCCAAGCGCTGGAAGCTGGCGACACTACTGCTGGCACAAATGGAGGTCTGTGTCTGAATCTGAGCTGCTAGATAAAAAGCAGTCTGCACAAAATGGCAGTCAATTGAAATCTTTCTTTGCAGGAAGAATGAATGGTTACTTTGTGGTACTCTGAATGTTGAGAAAGAGGGAGTGTTGGCCTCCGGTCCAGGAGCAGCTGGAAAGCAATGTGGTCTCCTACAGTTCAGTCGTCAGTGCTTGCCTCTTGGACATGGGAGGGGAGTCATGGTGTCTCGCACCTCGACTCCTCTGCGGCATTGGATGTCGAGGGACACAGCCCTGCCGGAGGGTTGCGGGTTGTGCAACTGCCCCGCAGAAGCATAGTCCCAAGTGTACAGGGTTTTGCACCCGCAGCCAAAAGAGTATTTTAAGTTGATTATAATAGCTTCTTGTTACTACTAGTAAGGCACTTGTTACTACTAGCGATGCACCTGTTACTAGTAGCTTCTAAAGGCAATGTTGTCTGGTTGAGCCATGTTGAGAGCTCCTGCTCGCTGCAAAGCGCTTGCCTTGCTGATTCGGCCGTTGCATAGCCACGCGGGGATGAATTTTGTGGCCAGAGGAATGACTATGCTTACATTCATGTTGATTCCTAGCCACTTATCACATATCTTCTAGTTGTTCATCACTCGTCCAGTGCATCGGCCTTGAGCCACCAGTGGATATCGCAGCGAAGAGCCCAGGTGCCAAGGCTTTTTCGTGGCCATCGGCCTCCTGTGCTTTGGGTGCAATGGCTCAACTCAGCGCCACCCGGCCAAGCGCTTTCTTCGTGGGTGGAGCACGGTGGAGCAGTCACTCGTGCTTCTTTGAATCGAGACAGACGAAACTCCAAGGAGCTGTAGATTTGTGTTTGGGAGAAGAAACAAATTGGATCGACTCATCTCTTTTGTTAATATTGGATCCTAAAAGAGTTTTGCCCACCGAAGCACTAAGGCTCGGTTCAAATTTACCAACCCAGCGTGCTAAGCATAGCTGACCCTCAGGAAATAACTGTGTATATAATTGCAACATATTGTAATTACATACCTATATGTACACATATGGTATTTTTTTTAAAACAGCTCCAAATTACTGGAACGTTTTCCCCTGCATGAAGGTCCAAGCAACATTGTTGCCGAGGTTCAATGAATCAAGACGCATAGGCATACTGACAACTGAGCCTCAGCTTCTTTTTGCTTTTAAGGTAGAGTCCAATGTCTTCACCTTCAATAGCGTGCTCCAGCTGCAAGCCTCTGTGTTGGAAGCCGGGTGGAATAGAGTGCACTCAGTCCCAGATAATGCACATATACATGTTGTGATTGGAGAGAATGCACATATTCATAAATGGTCGAAACCAGCAATATCCCTGCACTATGAAGACTATGAAGCTGTGAAGGGAATCATGGGGATGTCTCGCGAGGCCATCACAGCATTTGCACGGCAGGGAGCTTGGGCAGCTACAGCATCACTTTTGCCGCTTGATCGGAGCTAATGGGGTTTGTGCAAGCTAATGGGGTTTGTTCATGTATACAACGAAGATGGAAACGCTCTGCATACACTATGAAGCTGCTTTGACCCTTTCCACAAGTGAGGGATTGGATGCAGAGTCGAGCCATGCAATCCGACATTATCACCTACAATGCAGCCATCAATGGGTGCGAGGATTTCTGCTTGCACACTGCCTCAAACATGTGCCTGAAAAGACGCCTAATCTCGTTCGTTTAGTTTATATAATATTATCTATTTTGGTTGAAATGGACTGGAAGGGACACAAGCCTTCACATAGTTTGAAGCATAACTTGACACGTGACACATTCATCAAAGGAAAGGGGGCCGCCATTTGTGACACAAACTCTACCACAGTTCTTTGCATTTTGTGGTTCCATGTTGGAGGAGTACGGATGCTGGTCTTCTTCAGCTGCTTTTTTGGAGGAGCTTCGAGCCCAGGCAGGTCTTTTCTCGGCGATTCGGTGGACCTTTTCACAGGCGGATGCGGACCTTCACAAAAAGGACTGTTTGTTCGTCATTTTTGTAGAACAGACCTTTAGCAGTTTGTCCTTTTCTAGTACAAATTCATTTGGCTTAGATAGAAGGGTTTGACAGGACACCAGCCGCCCGTACAGTGCCCCACACTAGAATTACCCACCTGGAAATGGTGAATTCATCTTCCGAACCCTGTGCGAAGCGGCGAAGTGTTTGCTTGGGGGAACAAGGACGATACTAGGGGCTCCTGGCCGTACTGCTAGGAGCAAGGACGCTACTAGGAGCAAAGGGCATCGCTACTAGGAGCAAGGACGCTACTAGGGGCTCCTGGCCTTACTACTAGGAGCAAGAAGCTACTAGGGGCTCACAGAATGTTACAGACACAGCAGCCAGTTTGTGGAGCCCGTCGGGTTGAGGCCTTGGAGAGCGGTCTTTTCACGGAGAATTCGGCGACCAGCGTCTTGGAGAATCTTGGACCCATTGCAACACACGTGTGAAGCTTGGATTAGCGATGATCATCATGTATTAGAGAACTCCAAGATCAACCAAAAACAACAACCAATGTTGTGAAGACCAGTTGGACATGCACACAAGATTTCCCCCAACTCACAACGCACTTGTTGTTGATGGGTGCTCCATTAGCTTTAGAGACTTTCGAGCCTCGGCTCCGAGGAAGGCAGTGCAGTGGCAGGCTGCCTTGAGGATGCTTCGTGAGCGGTACACGGTGGTGGCTTGGTACTGCGGAGCTGAGTTGTTCTGCTGCTGAAACGTCTCAAAGTCTAGAAACAAAGGGCATCGCTACTAGGAACAAGAAGCTACTAGGGGCTCCTGGCATCGCAACTAGGAACAAGGACGCTACTAGGAACAAGAAGCTTCCCACCTGGCTTGAGCCAAAGAGCTGACAAACAGCATCGGCAGAAGGGGTCTCACACCCGTGGTGTTTCATTGTTGAATGCTTCCACCAGAGTACAGGCTGTTCTTGGGTATCGTTGCTGGGTTGGAAGGATATGGATGTCTCATTCGTGTCAAATGAGTGTCATTTTTTGTTCCGCGTGGTATCCGGATGCTGCACCCACTTATATAACATGAGGTTGACGTTGCATGTGGAATGTGACCTACTGTATCGATTTGTTTCTTCTGTAGAGGATAGCTAAGCAAGGAAGAGCACCCGTGTCACAAGATGCTAATGGTGCCACTACAAAAGGAAGTACTGTTCGGTGAACTTTCAACTGTGCACATTCAGGTCGCACCGAAAAATTGGACTATGCCGCAAATTTGCACCGGCTGAGGATGTGATGAGTTACAGCTCTAGCTGCTCTGCATTGGCAAACGGTTTCCAATGGCTTTGGGCCTTGAAACTGTCCGAAGAACTGCAGGCGTGCCCCTGGCGGTGTGGCACCCGTGCAGGGTCTGGTGGTCTGCTGGTGTCATGCAACAAGGGTGTGGGCATTTGTTTGATGACATGTCTTGGATACGCTGCATTGCAAGCCTGGGCTGAATACTGTTGTATTGAGAAGCAGAATATTATCAGCTTGAAAGGATCAGCATCAAACCATTTTCGGAAGAGCTCAACGGGAAACTCTAGGGTGCGGCGGTGTGGATTTTGCCAGTTCGCATAACCTCTCATAGTCTACCAGCTGAAACAAAAAACCAAGGAGCCATTAAGTATGAAGCTGTTTGAGCCCTGAGGAACATGCATTGCAATGCGATGTGATCTGCTGCAACGCTGTGATCACTGCCTGTGAGAAGGGAGGTCAGTGGCTACAGGCATTGTCTGTCCTCACTCACTTAGAGGAGCACGATGGGAAATACAAACAGTCAGCGGCGAGCCAACACGAGGAATCAAATTTCAGGTTCCTTGTGCTTTGCTTTCCCTGTGGTGGCCTTGCTTCTGATCTCCCTCTCTCTCTCTATACACATAGAGTGAAAAGCTCAAATTTTGCTTCCTTTGATTTGGCTTCGAACATCCTGGAGGAAGGCCGTCGACATCCGATCGCTTGTTCTGGAGTCACCTTCTCAGGAGTTGGACTTACAAGCAACATTGATCTCCTTCAATGCAGCCACTTGGTGCCACAGAAATGCAATGCTTTCAGCCATATTTCCTTTTTCAGTGTCATGAGTTTGGACTTGCCAGCGCCGGTTTTCTCTCAACAGCAATAGCTGTGATGTCTCCAGCCATAGTAAAGAGCTTCGAGTCCTTGTGATAGTTCCTGAGACACAATGATCGAGTGGTGATCCCTCTCTAAGGGAGGTTTGTGAAATTCGGGCGTTGGGCTTTGGGACTTTTCTCCCCTATTCCTCCCTGAGTGCTTTGGACACGAATCCACTGGCCGTGGAGCGAAAACCTCCGTCCAGGCCATCTCTGCCTGTGAGAAGCGCAAGCGGCTCCTAGCTGCGCGTGGGCTTCTCCAAGCTTTGCAGGAGGGGTGCACTCATCGTCCCTGGTCGGACCAAAGCCCAGGGTTTCGGAAGATTGGGAAACGAAACAAAGTTCTTTTTGATTTTAGCTTAGTTGCTTGCTTGAAACATTGATCCTTGGACCAAGCGACTTTGCTGACAGAGGACTCAGGAAGATGTAGGGTTTGATGCTCATCAACTCCCATCCCTCGCCAAACAGAACATACGACAATTTGGGCTCCTGAACAACATCCCCAGAAGGGGCCCAGTGGGATTGGGTGTCCACCTGTGAGACCAAAGTCTCATCATAATTTGGACAACGAACACATGATCTCACCGGATAGTCTCGAATTATCATGAATTATCCTTGTTCTTACGTAAACTAAAGCTATTAGTAACAAGTGCCACGCTAGAAGTAACAGGTGCCTTACTAGTAGTAACAAGAAGCTATTAGAATTAAATCAAAATAACAGCAAAAAAACTTTGGGACAACATTTGCAAACCTTGACAGGCACGCCATTTGGTCCCTGACGTGGTGAGTTATAGTGCTCTCATCAGTGCCTGCGAAAAGGCGGGTGCGTTGGGTGAAAATTTCAGGTCGCTCCGTACTCCTTATAGAGGTAGAAAGGAAGGTTTTTGAGCCCCCTATGGAAGGTGTAAGGGCTATGAAGCCAAGCAGTTGAAGACTGCACCTGATAGCTGAACACCCAAGCACAAAGCATGTTTATGCATGTTTGCATCATTTGTTTCGATCGTTTCCTACTGAGATGTCTTAGACATAAAGGATGTCCGGAGCAAGGCAGGCAAACTGAAGAGCATCTTTTGTAGCAAGATACACTACAAAATCAGTGAGAAAGCAAACGACCTACATATAGCCTAGGTTAGAGGCCATCGCTATTAGGTTGGAGGCCATTAGGTTGGAGGCAATCGCTTTTAGCCAATAGGACCAAATCCCGTGAATGCCCGCCCTTTGCGAGGACTTGGGTTGCCTAGTATATACAGACTCTCCAAATCTCAGAAGTGATGAGCCACGTTTCGCGAACCTCCTTGTAGGTAGTCCATACCATACCCTTCGTCTACTACTCATTGCCATGCTCTTACTTGTTTCCTGACTCAGGCAGGTCAGTGGCAAGAAGCGCTGGATGTGTTTGAAGAAATGAGACGGACGCTTGTCATTGCTTGGCATCGCTTGACATTCTTGAGTTCTTGTGCGCAGCTGTCAAGCTTGCAGATTGGCTTTCCAGGAAAACTACAGTAGAAGGAGTGAACTGTGTTTGAAAGTACGGACCATGTTTCCAACCTGCCGGATGGACACTGTGAATTCCAGCCAACGGGGCGCCATTGTTGATCACATCGTCTATCTATCTCATCCTCCATCCACAAGTGCTTCTGTTTGGTCAGAGTCTCCTTTATCCGAGATTTGCTTTCAACATCTCCAGTGTTTTAGGCCATTGATTGCTAGTTGGGTGACTTTGATCACTGACTAGATGACTTGATTGTCCCGAGTTGGGTGACTTTGATCGTGAGGCGTTTGATCCGCCCAAACGCCATCTCCTTCTCTGCAACCATCAGCGCGTGTGAAGCACGGGGTGCATGGCTTCAGGCCGTGCATCTTTTGGAGGAGTTCTTAGGACCGAGTGGTTGATGGGATTGATGAGGTGGCAAGGATGACATCCTCAAGACCTTGGGCTTTGTTTGCACAACCAAGTTCTTGTGAATTTGACAGATCAGAAACACTCTTAGAAACCTTGAAACCTTCTTTGATTCATCCCTTTGATACTGGTGGTGTGGTAGCTTGAACAGCCCACAAAAACACACACACACACACATTGCACAAGGGGCCATGCTGTTGCAATGGCCCAAGCAAGATCCGCACTACCATCAAGACCTATCTGTGATCCAGCAGGAGCATTCCCTCCAAGTGTCATTGCCTTCAGTGCAGCGATCAGTGCTTGTGAGAAAGGGCAGCAATGGGAGAAGGCACTCGTCCTACTGAAGCAGATGACGCAGAAGGAGTTGTCACCTGGACAATTCCATGGTGCAAACCCATAACATAACAGCCTGGGATGTCGCTTTTCAAGTGGAATGGGGTGGGAGTTCCTGGAAAGGAGCACTCTTTACGGCAGCATGTTACCTGGTCCCCATTCAGGTCTGTCAGATAGAACCTGACGGTCGTGCAGTTTCTATCCTCGCCTTCTGCGTAGTCTGGCATATAAGTCGTCCAGTCCAAAAGACATGGAGACAGTCATTCCTAGAAGCTTCTAGGGTGGAGGCCATTGCTAGTAATTAGGTTGGAGGCCATCGCTAGTAGGTTGGATACCATCGCTTCTAGGGTGGAGGCCGTTGCTAGTAGGGTGGAGGCCATCGCAATTAGGGTGGAGGCCATCGTTTCTAGGGTGGAGGCCATCGCTGGTAGGTTGAAAGATGTGTCAATATCGAAGTGCGTTTCACTTGCATGGCATCAGCGCGGGATGTCAACAAGCCCTCATCACACCTGAGGCAGGCCAGCATCGTCGCCTTTAACGCAGCAATCAGTGCATGTGAAAAAGGCCATTGCTGCAAGCAGATATTCTGTTGTCAATATCATGTTCATTCATTTTCTTTGTATGGCTTAGTGTCTAGAGAGGCATGGGACTTGGGAACTCTGACATCTCTTATGCTCTCTTGATGTTTCTGGCTCTCTGGTGCAAGTCCAGTCTTCTAGTTTACAACCACTGGAAACAATGTCACAAGATGTCCTTCGTTTTTGCACAGAGAATCCCCAGAGGTCAGAAGTGGCAACATGCATTTGAGCTGATGGCAGAGCTGTGCACCTTGATAGCATTTTCGGTCGCTGGAGGGTGAGGACTGCTTTTTCATCAGGGCTACGCAAGAAACATAGGCATTGCTGCGTGATGCTTCCAGGGATTGAGGGGTTTTCCAGCGAAAATCGAGAACAGGTTCTCAACAGCACAAGATGCACTCAATAGCCGGCCCAGAACCACTTCTATTTTTAGGGCGCGGCAACCAGTGTTTTTCATTTGCTTTCGCTGTCACCAGAACCAGTTGAGTGTGCTGCCTCCTGGAATGCTTCGAAGTTACGGCTCTAAGGTACCCTCCGCCTGCATGGTACCACAGTGACGCCGCCTGGCATCAAGACACTCCTGTGAGCAGTGTTTGTTAGGTACTGCTGGAAGACTGAGATCCGGCCCCATAAATAGCACTTCAACATTGAACCAGGTGTACAGAAAGTTGGAATCAGTGCATAAACTGAATGATGTACACAGACTTGAGGTAGGTGCAGCCCATGGTATTAAGTGATGCGAGGGATGTTCGTTCCCGCTCAGTACCTTCTAATGCATGTCTCAGACATGCTCAGCTTGTGCCTTCTCTTTCAGGTACACCGCGTTGCTGAGTGCCTGCTATGCTTCGCAACAGTGGCAGCACGGGTTGTTAGTCTTTGAGACTTTTGAGGAACAGCACGTGCGAGGCTGGACCGGGGTGTTTTCGTCTTCAGGACGGTCCTGAATTAAAACACCACCAGCTTCAATTCTTTTTTGGCATTTGTCTTTGCGAATCATCCAGGGCAAGTGAGTGTTAATAAACCAGATTTTTAAAGGTTTTCTTTGTCATGCATCCCATTTCAGATTTTGTAGAACAAAGTGACCTTCCATTTAGCACTTCATCCACATACATGAGTCTGTCCACTATTTGATTTGACAGGGCTCTTCTAAGGCTAAGGCCTTCTTGGCCATGGCCCTCCTGTTCTCCAATGCTTTATGTTTTAAAGGGACACTGATAGTGGTGGCCTCCACCCTAGTAGCGATGGCCTCCAACCTAAATGGCAAACAATGACTTTAACCTTCTGAACGTACCATCTTTGTGCCATCTCTCCTTGACATGCTTCATTTCGTGTCCCTTCCATTTCGGAAAAGACATGGAACGAGCAAAGAATTGAAACGAGCGACAGGGAACGTGCTGACGTACTCGGCAGCTTGTGGCCTGGCACCAAGACCGTCGAGTGAGCTCCAGGAACTGCTGAGTCGTGTGGAACACCATGGCCTTAATGCCATCAGCGCAATGCCATGAGCCAAACCAGTGTGAGGTTGATTGTGTCGAAGGGATTCTGAAAGGGCAAAATTGCCCTGCTGGACGTAAGACCTGCTTCACAATCTTCAAAGTCGCTCACCATTTTTCTTCTCACATCTACTTGGCAGGTGGATTCTGGAGTTGAATCAGGTCCCTGATGTCGGGTTTATGTGCAGTGACTGCAGTGACCCACAGATGACGAGCCCTCCATGTGGGGCCATGCAAGCATATGCAAGCAATCTTCCGTCGAAAAAGTGCATTTGCTGGGGCTTAAGTGAAAGACACCTCGAATATGAACACCGGGTGCAACCTCGATTTCTTTCTTCAGCATCTTCAGCTTGGATACTGGTGGTACTTATTGCCTTGCAACGAGTGTATGTTCTCCGGCAGACAAGTTGGGATCAGCTCCTGGGACATACGTCGACTCATTTCAGAGCTTATCGAAACGGTTTAGTGGGGTGTGTGTACATCTACGTGGAATAAGCTTGAAGGTTGGTTTGCCAGTCTACCCGCCTGACATTTTTGTCAATCTGTGTCGTGCGGATATTTTCCACTTCAGCATTCTGCTGCTTTTGTCCCTCAAGATCAAGGGTCACGCGTTTCACGAGCATCTTGAATCAAGGGTGGTTACATTCTCATGATTTTCTAGCTATCTTCCTCTTGCGCTCTCAGTGCGTCTGGTGCTTTACACTGGAGACGTCGCAGGCGCGTCATTTATGGAGATCTTCTGGACTGACACAGATGAGCCCCAGAAACATGTTTCATGTGGTTAGATCATTTTACAGTTTCGATCCCAAACTGTTTTCCCACGCTCAACCTTACTTGACACAACATCCTGTGGTTGGATCATATGACATCTTTATGGTTGCTTCTAGCAAAGCCCTGTCGGGTGTGCCCTGCGTACTCATTTGCACTTCAGTTGAAGTGGAGTGCATGGTTTTCTCCTCCAAAGATGCCCTTTGCAGGCTTCCACATTGTCTCGCGACTTGCGAAGCTATTGCGCTGCTATCCGAGAGCATCTTGGACGTCGGAGTGCTTCTAGTTCTTGGACGTCGTTGTGTGAGTCATTTCATTTTTAAAGCTTTAAGAACGATCTCAAGGTGTCATTGACATTGGCTGAACAGGTGAGTAAGACCGAGCCCAAATCTGGCACAACTTCAAGTTATCATTCTTTTTGGTGGGGCTTAGGCCTTTTGCCCTTTGTTACGCCAATTTGTGAGGTGTGGAAGAACCAAGCATTGGCAAGAAGCCCTTGTGCTGCTACACGAACTTCACGAGCTTTCCCTGGAAAGGATGCTTGGGCTTGGATTAGATTTCTGGAAAGGAGGACTGCTGTGGGAGTGTCTACATCGCTTCAGAGTGAGTTGCATTTATACACTGCCATGTTGCAAGACTCTCAAACCATTCAGCCTGAAGAAGTTGAACAAGCGCGAATTCCAAGACATGCAAATTCCTCGTCTTCTGGCTTTTTCAGTGAAAAGCACCCTGCAAACCTGCAACCTGAGGAATGCCTTTACGTACAGTGCCGCTATCACAGCATGTGAGAAAGGCTGGCAGCGTCGTGTTTCGCGGCCGCTCTGGGGGTGCGATAGTGGAAGCTCAGCCGGCGCGCCTAGCATGGCCTAGCACCCCTTCAATGCTGGCGCAGGTGAGAACTGGATCAATGCTCTGACGCTTCTTCGAGAGCTGCAAGCCAAAGATGTGTTCCTTTGAGCGTACGTGGGGCGGTTTGCGACGTGGGGCGGTCCACGGTTTCTGGGAGGTCTGCAATCCATGACCTACTGATGATTAATGGAATAAATATCATTTGGTTTTGCAAGCTAGACCAACAGGAAGAGCAAAATACAGTTGAGGAGAGCCTATTATATGGTTGTGCACAGTTGCAAACTATGACAGTGACATTTCCACATTTACACCACGTCCTGCTCATTTGACTGCTGTCGTCACCAACAATTCTTGGTCACAGAAGCCAAGACTAACGGGGCTTGAAGAGGTTCTTGCAGGAGCTGCATGCTTTCAATTGGAATGAGGCAGGAATTTCGAATCCCTAATTACCCAGGCACGAAAGAAGTATATATATATATATAACTTGACCACGAATCAAGATGGTGTCCGTGGGGCGTGTAGCCACTTCCCCAGGATCAGCTGGAATGTCTCGTTGAGTGCTTGCGAAAAGTGCTGCCAATGGCGAAAAGCCTTGATGCTCTTCGATGCGATGCGTGGAGGAGCAGTAAACAGGGAAAATGAATAGTAGTAACAAGGACGCTACTAGGAACAAGTGCATCGCTACTAGTAACAAGTGCCTTACTAGTAGTAACAAGGACGCTACTAGGAACAAGTGCCACGCTAGTAGTAACAAGTGCCTTACTAGTAGTAACAAGAAGCTATTAGAAACAAGTGTCGTCCGAAAAACGCGAAACGGTTGGAACCTGTTGCGGCTTGGTTTGTTCACCGGAGGGTTTTTGGCGTGTTGTTGTATATCTATGGCATTTTCTTCGAAACCCTGCCAACCAGCCAATGAAAGGCACCATGTCACGTGTCAGTTGGTGAGAAGGAGGCCTGCCATGTGAGCAGTATATTCTTCGACGGTGTTGATAATTTGATCGGTCAAAGGAGTCTGAGCAAAGAGTGCCTGCTTGCAACAAACTCCAAGGGAGCATTTCTACAAATCACAGCCCGTTGGAAAGATGAGGACGCAAAAGCTTCATCACCTACAATGCCTGCATCAGTGCTTGTTCTAATGGCAACCAGTGGCAGGAGGCTTCTCAAGAAGGACATGTGTCACCATCACATTGCAATGACAGCCACGGGATCTGAAAGAGATCAATGCGAGATTAGAGTCTTTGGGAGGTCACCCTATTTCAATATACCCACAACATCCCACATCCAACCAGGTCAGCGGCTTCCTTAAATCTTGATTGAGTGACCTAAGCGGTACTGGTGGTTCAGCTTCCGTGTGGGCCGAGACATGCTGCCGAGAAAGTAGATAATATATGCAGGAAATAGTCAGGATTTTCCATGATTTTGCTGCTCTCACAGCCAATGCCCAAGTGTATTGCAAGCTCTGAGCTCTTTTTTGATGCGCCGCTGAGTCGTTCCAAGTTCTCTCGGAGCTCTTTGGGTGCAGCCTCCAGGGAACGGCCCCTTAGCCGGTGTTTCCTGCGGTGATTGCGGTCTTTCATGGTCTTTCAGAAGCTCAGGAGCTCCGTTGATCTTTGGGTCACTAGTGTGAAATGGACAATGCCCTTGATTGGCGAGGTTTCTACTGATTAAGGATGCACAAATCTGGTTTGAGGCCAAGGCGAGGTCAGGATGAAAGCAATGAGCAAAATGGTCAATGCATCAATTGCTGTACATGTTCCCAACTCTCTGTGGGATCGAATGGGATCGAATGATGGCAATCCTTTCTTTGTGTCACTTGGCCATATGGGAAGGTCCTTTGCTGCATGGTACTTACCAACCACCGCCACCAACCACTCTGTTCTTCCAGTGTTTGGACCATGAAGATCATGAAGATTTTGGAAGGATGGATGTTGAAGGAAGGAGGCAGAAGTCCAAACTTCTGCTGCAGAAGTTTGGACGTCATCCTCCTTCAAGCGCTGCGAGGTCGTCTCCTTCAATGCTGTTGGCTCTTCTCTGCGTCGCTGGCGTGTCAGCCTCGCCTTGCTGGCGGCTTTGGACCGTCTCTGCTTGCAGTCCACGGGTGTGACGCGGAACACGGCGCTGAGCACTGCAGAGAAGAGTAGGTGCTCGGGAATTGAACCGAGGGAGGTTGGTCACAAGAGTAGTATAGTGGGTTGTGGAGGCCATCGCTAGTAGGTTGGAGGCCATTGCTAGTAGTCTCCTAATAGGACTTGATCTAATGCACCAACTAAGATCAGATCTCTTGAGGAAGTTTGCTCGTTCTCTCCGGTCCATAGCAGTGGTTGCCAGGTGCTGGCAGCCAGTCTTGGCCCTTTTGGATGAAGGCCGAAGAGAACACATCCAAGCGGATGCGATTCTTGGGCCTTATGATCCGTCATGGGGGCAGTTCGGATCAGTTTCCTGCCGCTTCGGATGGGTTGTCCAGCTTCTGCTGGTTCATGCTGGTAGAAAGGGGGTAGACAAGCCGTGTTGGCTTTCCTTGCAGCACTTCCAGTCTCATGGACCCCAACCAACGGGCGAACAGTCCTGTCTGCGGGAACCAGCTGATTGGGGGGTCAATCATTCACCGTTGAGAACACACACACACACACATGCATCAGCACGCTCCTTCTCACAGATTTGAGACCTCAGGATCACTTTCAATGCCTGCATCAGCGCTTGCGAAAAGGGCAAACAGTGGACATCTGCCCTCCAGCTGCTTCATTCAAGACACTTAGAAGGTGCAATGATCCTGTGCTTCAAAAGCAGCAAGCAGCGTCTGAAGACATTGAGTACAATTAGAATGGATCAGTCAGTGGGCCACCGATTGTTTTGGCCCCCATGAGAGAGATCAGTACTCATATCCGAGACACCATCCCAACAATTATGAACCTCCTTATGTGTTTGCTGACACTCCACTCCGTCTATATATATATAGGGGTGGTTAACGTATGTTTAAAGGGTATGTTTCGTTTCAATCAGTTCCCATCTTGCCTGTGAAGAAGAGGAGGCCGGCCGAATGCAATCACCTACAACGCTGCAGCGAGCGCAGCAGAGAAAGCCCAGGCCAGGGTCATCACCTCCAAGTCACTACTGATAGCCTCCTACTGTTGACGAGCCAGGTGACCGGAGCTATGGTGCTCCATTGGGATTTGATGGTGTTTCCAGGGAATTGTATAAATCAAGCTCCTTAGTCAACAGTAGGTAAAGCAGCCTACACTTGCACCAGCCACTTGCCGGCCCTATTGGCCGACAGTCAGCAGGATTTTCTGGACCTAAGTTGAGTCTCAGGGGATTTTGCTCATGACAGATCTTGCTTGCAGGAGTGGGTGCCTGCTCTTTTCTTGTTGCAGGAGACATGTTGGGATGAGCGTTGGTCTGGAAGGAATGAGTTATGTAGATGGATGAGCCCATCACGGCAGTAGATTTCTGTCTCACCACTGGTACAGAGTTCTCTCCGCTTAAAACCATTTTATTTGTGTGTGTGATGCCGGTTTATTTTTCTTTTGTGGGTGAGGATATCATAAACTTCCAACGTGCCTCTTCTGGAGTTTCCCTACCGAAGGTTTCACTTAATCTGAGGTGTTTCGGTGTCTTGCGAGTCGGTCTGCAGACTCCTTGGACTGCTGGACTGAACACCTTGGCAGGAACTGAAGCTGCTCCGCTGGGCTGATGTGATCAGTTACAACGCAGGGATCAGTGCGGTTGAAGCTTGGCAGCTAGCTTGTACAGTTTGTGTGATGCCTTAGGAGGCCACAGGCCTCATACAGGTTGAGAAAGCAGGGCTGAGAGCTAAAGACAGGTTGCACTTGTCAAGCACATGCTCCGAACCAATCCTGGTGCCGATGACGGCGAGCAATCCCATTTGTTATAGTTTCGGGATGCAGGCAGACAGTGATCCAAGAACGGAGGGTCAACCCCAGGCTAGATTCTGCTAGATGATCCGTTATTGTGTTTGGTTGCAAGGAACAGCTTGGCCTTTGGCGCCTCATCACAGCTTCCCTGTCTGAGTTGAAGAGCAAGAAGCTGCAAGGTGAGGGCATGGATATATTCTTGTTCTAAAGATGAAGCTGTGGCATTATATCTATATTGAACGCAATCAGCATACTGCACACTCCTGTTTCTCTCCCCTTGAGGGCATAGCGGATAACACTTGCTCTAAGTAGGCAAAACCCATCAATCTATATCTAGGGGATCCCTGTGTCACTTTGTCATGTGCGACGGTGAAGGCAGCGTGATAACCTACAGCGCTTGCATCAGCGTTTGTGAGAAAGCTCAGCAATGGCAGCCATTGCCTCAGAGTGTCTACCACAGGGTGTTTCCAGACTTTGCGTGAGGTTTTGAAGCTAGTTGTTTGCATGGCGTTTGCATGTTCCAAGTTGTCGTGAATCCACTGGGTTTGCGGCGACCAAGGCCTGCCATGGCCCTGCTCCGAGAGCTACAAGACATGGAGTTGAAGAGCAATATCATTGCCTACAATGCTGCTATGAGTGCGTGCCTGGAGCCAGTTTTGGTGATGGCCCACAACAACATACTAACACTTATTGACACTTAATTATTGTGAATGAAATGGATCCATCAGAACGGTGTAGTGCTGCTAAACGGGTTGCAACAGAGGGCCTCTTGAGTTGGCGGAGTTTGTCAGCCAATCGCTGGGGCCTACAGTTCTGACAACTGGAGATACCTGTGTTTGATCCCCACGAGCAATCCACAGTCCGTGCCTGAAACAGATGAGATGATCTGACATTTAAACTTCTCATGCCAATCCAAAATGATGGCATATGACTGCGCAGTGTCACTGTCTTCCAAATAGGATGTGCTCGATCATTTTTCATTCATTGATTCACGTTTTTTGCTTGATTGATGAAACCACAGTCAGCCACTGCAGGTGTGAAGCTATGAGTCTATGGCATCACGTTTTGTATCTCTTCCAGGACGCCGTACCCATTGGCAGTAGTACGACACGGTGAGTCTGGGGCCATGCCATGATAGCTCTTTTGGATCGTGCTGCGTACTTGTTTTAGCAACTCTGAAAACGTAGCCGTGTGGAAATCTCCAATTGCTGTGTTCTATAAATTGTTGTCTAGCAAACCCATCAGCCACGCTTTGTTGTGGTCCAATCATTGCCAGGGGGGCAATTATCCATGCCTCATCATGACACATGTGTGTGCCCCTGCAGTGAGGAGAGGTTTAGTGATTTCACCGGTGAGGCCTCCCAAGAACGCGCCAGGAGCTTGAAGAGGCTGGCCTGCCAGCAACAGCAATCACCTACAGCTGTGTCCTGAAGCTCAGAGTTGATTGCTCCTAGTAGCGATGCCAGGAGCCCCTAGTAGCGTCCTTGCTCCTAGTAGTACGGCCAGGAGCCCCTAGTAGCTTCTTGTTCCTAGTAAGGCCAGGAGCTCGGTTTCCCATCGCCCCTGAGGCCGTGAATGCTATGGAGCAGTATATGGATGCTGCAGATGCGCCTGATGCGCTGGTGAAGCTGCAAACGGCAGGACTTCGCCGCACCAGACAGATGAGAGAAAGTGGAGCTGACAAGTGAGCCACTGAAAAACACTTCTAAACTAGGAGACACAGGAGACACAGCTTGCTCAGCTCTTGTTGATTAGATCTTGAGCTTTTTCACTTACAGTGCTTTTGGGCCTCAAGACCAGATAAGTCCTAGAGGGTTGTAGACACTGAGGCGTTCGCTTATGACGTCGATTTTCGCGTCGCTTGTGCCGCTGATTTTCTCGTAGCACACCCCACCCCACCACGCCCATGATGCTGGTGATGCTTTGTGCGTACACCAGGCTTTAGATCGCAAATCCTTAGATCATAGAGAACTGTCTGTGTCAGTTGTGCACAGATGTCAGATGTGATGATGTGGGCATGGGCCAATCATTCCGTCTGTTGTCGTCGCAAGTGATCTAGTGTCGTTGCAAGTGAAACGTGTCGTCGCAAGTGAACGGTTGACCGTTGTAGAATCTTGTACGATGACACCAATCACCAACATGATGCCACAAAATTTTGAGTGGCACCTGGCAAGTTGATACAAGTGCTTAGTGCAGAGGCCAGATTGTACAATGACTCTTTTGGGCATGTTCAGAAATTCATCTCACTCAGCGGCGAGCTGTTCAGTTCGGATTGTCTATTCAATGCAGCTGGGTGGCTTTAGGCAAAAGAAACAGGCTGGTGAAAAAGGATTGAAACCAGCATGCTGGAGATGACATGACTGTTGCGAACCCATTGATCCCATTTACTTATGTTCTCTATGATGCTTTCTTACGGCATGGCAGCCGCTGGCCATGGCAGCCACTGCCAAGGCGGTGGCAGGAGGGGCCGCTTGAAAAGCTTGTTACTTCTATTGCTGATTGAGGGATGGGTCAGTACCTCAGCAGACCTTTTTCACTGACTTTGATTTCGAAGCGGTTGCTCACCTGAAATGATTGGAAAGGTTGCAACCATTCTTCACCTGGGCACTAGCTTCTTTGAAGGAATGTCAGAGTTGCACTGAAAGAAGCCAAACATCAAAACAAGATGCTGGAAACTTATCGGGTCCCCTATTCCTTTGCTCGCGTGGTTACGTGGTTTTCTTGATCCTTTCGTCCTTCCACTGAAGAAACCCAGCGAGGACATGGCATCAAGACAGCAACCTCTCAGATCGATGCTCATGGAAAGAAGAGCCAATGGCAGCAAGCCCTGCGACTTGATGCAAATGTCTCGGATGGTCCACGATTCGATTCGAGATCGCGTTCTCCCGCACATGGCATACTGAGTCCTTGCGGTTGAGGATCGCGAGCCTGAAAACGGTGAGGGAGCGTATGGGCACCTCCCACGGAGGAAGCTTTGTGTGATTTGAGGTCGCTTTTGGCAGATCTTCCTGCTCAAGAACTGCAGCCCACCATTGTCACCTTCGGTGCAGTGCTCAATGCTTGTGAGCGCGCCGAGCGCTGGCCACAGGCTTTGTGAGGGCTGGTCCAGGGCTGGTCTCACTGTCATCCGCATTGTCAGATAAGGAGCAAGTGATTTGGGATCTCAGCAAATGCAATAGATTTTAACTGAACCAGATCAGAGTAAGAGGTCTTTGATGTTTATGAGCTGGACGAAGACTACTTGAAACTTGCATAGATCAAACAAAACTTTGGGTAGCAAGAGCAGGAATCAAAAGCAACAGCTGGCTGATAAAGGCGGAGCCCGGGCATGACTGTCGTTTGAGACCCTAGCAGGCACTTCTGCTGCTGGAAGATCTCCAGCAGAAGGAGATACAGGTGGGGACTGGGGCCTTGGGTCCTGCGAGTGTGGCAATCATCCTCAGTGGAACGCATCACCAACCCCCCCGCAACTCAGTGATTCTGATTGTTGTGATGCTCTTTCCTTCCCAACATTGTCAACACCTTAGATGCGGGCTGCCTTGGACAATACTGTTTGGATTCCTGCAATGGACCAGGATACCCCTCCAGATGCAACATTGCAATAGAGAACTGGAGGTCTAAAAGAAGAACTGGAGGTGACGATGCTTGTACAAATCTAGCTTGACGCTTTCTTGTAAAGAGACCTTCTAATGGGCGAGAGCTATTGGGTTCTTACTTCGATTATAGGAAGAGGTGCTTAAGCTTTGGAGCTTGGGTGCAGGTGCTGCAGTGTTGCTGCCAACCGTCTAAGTCTATGGCACTGGAGCCTGGGTGCTGGTGCCGATGCAGGGTGCTGCTGCTGCCCACAAATAGCTTGCGCTATCTGCGGGTAAAATTTCTTGTTTGCTACAGTGGTGGATCGCTGGGTTAGTGTCTCCAAGGAGTTCATTCGCTGCTGACCACTTATTATTGCGGCAATTGCACTTTCAAGTTGTACTTATAGGCCCACTTCCAGGACAGCTTATTCGGTTGTTGCTTTCCCAATTCTTCTTCCCAGATAGTGAGAGCTATTGTGGTTCTTACTTCAAGTGTAGGAAGAGGTGCCCTTTGGAGGCTCAGTGCTGGTTCCGCTGCCAGATGTGTATGGCCGTGTGCACTTTGGAGCCTGGTGCCGCTGCAGGGTGCGCTCCAGGGTGCTGCTGCGAGATCGGCGAGACATGTCTATGGCCATGTACGTTTTTGAGCTTGGGCGCTGGTGCGCTGCAGAATGTCGCTGTCGGATGTGTATGGCCGCTTGGAGGCTGGGCGCTGGTGCCGCTGTGGGGTGCTGCTGTTTACATGTTTACGGCAGTGCGCGTCTTGGAGCCTAAGCGCTAGCGACGCTGCAGGGCGCCGCCCACAAATGCTTTTTGCTACTTGGGGTCTATGTTGTCGACATACATGTCACCTAGCAATCTGCAAAGTATCACGGGCTTTGCCAAGCCAACGCAGTGAGTAAGATGATCATTGTGATGCTTGGTTGCTCACTGAACTCAACCCCTTCCTTTGGCTTGGGTCAGAACTGAAGGTCGACAGCCTTGCCTATGGTGTTGCCATCAGCGCCTGTGGCAAGGGCTTGCAATGGCACCGTGCTTTGGGCCTGCTGGGCGAATTGCTGGAGATGCATGCGACTGAGATGCAACAAACAATTCTAGCACACAAATCGGTAGTGCTGGAACATGTGGAACACATGTCATGGTTTTGTATATATGTATATAGATTGATGCGCCTTAAAAGGGTCCACTTTGTCCTTTGTTTGCTTCTCTCTTGCCCCTTTTTTGTGCGATCATCAGATTTTTCAAGGTACTCATCCCACCATTTCAAACCAAACCACTGCTCAAATTTGTTTGCAGCTGCAAGTTTGCAATTCTGTTTGGGTTCCAGCAGCAACATTTTCAGCTCTGTCAAGGCACACAACCAACACTTTTTGTTGTTAGGGTCCCAGCTGCAATAGCCACAACTCAAAACGCCGTTTCTGAAGAAGGGTGCCAGGTTTTAGCAGCGCGGCGCCATGATGTTTTTGCTTTATTTTGATGGCCTTGGCTGTTTGCGTTGTTGCCGACAACAGCTTTGACAATGAAACTTGCGAACAAGACGACTTTGCGGCACTGCAGCACAAAGGACAATATCTATTTCGTCGATCTTGATTTGTGGCCCATTTCATAGCTCTGGGATGTTCTGTTTCTTTTTGCTTTCAGTTGGCAGTTGTTTATAGTTTGACACCAAACATTTTGAGCACCAAACTATTCTTAATATATATATATTATAATTCTGACAGCTTGATCAGTCTTCCACGTCACGTCCACATCCGCTCCAGGACAAGAGCATTCCGACGGCGGCGATTGCTCCGGATGGATTGGAACAGCTCCGTTCTGCGGGGCATCATATGACGACTGCACTTTTTCTTTTCAAGACCTTGACATTTGTACTCCTGTCCTGTTCAAGGCAATTATTGGTCCGACTTTGGAATAGATTGTTCCTCTGGTGAAAAAGTCCTGTGTGGGCCAACCAGCCAGATGATCTACTCAATTTGGAGAGGAAATCCGGATTCATCTGGTCATTGCGAGGCAGGCTGCGAGCAAAGTTGCTCCGGCAACTGGCCTGTTTGCATGGATTTGGCGCCCAATATCCATTTGGCCCACAAACTTCCAAATGGCATGGATTTCTTCAACCCAGAGTTTGGGCCTGCCTGTACTTCTGGCTTCAAGGTACTTTGTGGGCCCAAGGGCTCTCCGACGGCACCAGGGGTGTGGATGCCCTCTTGTGGTGGCACCTGTCCTCAGTCCTGTTCCGACAAGACTCCGTGGCCGGTTTGCCAAGATCTCACTTACAGCAGCTCTCTGGCACAAGTGGACCCAGAGCACTTTGGCCCTGAGTGCACCACCGGACGCAGGGCGCGCTGTGGTGTGACAGGCAGCACAGTTTTCCCGTATTGGTGGGGTGGCCCGGATGACAATACCAAACCTGGTTTGTGCACAGGCATGGGAAACATTTGCAACGGTATACAAGTCTACCCTCGCCCTCTGTACGTTTGTATCACTGGTGTGCGCAATGTGAGTGAGATCCCTGACTGGTGTGTGGGACAGCATTATGCGAAGTACTTCGGTTTGCCTTGTGCTGCTGGATCCCCAGGCTATAAAGTGCTATGTGCACCGCCTCAGTCACCAATTTGTGGTAATTGCCCTTACAACTGGGGCTCTACTGATGCAGGAAAGTCAAAAAGACCTGCAAAACAGCGGCGCGCTCGAAAAAGAGCTGCCACTGCTAAAAAGCAGGAGCAACAAACCCGAACTCGGACTGCTCGCAAGTAGGCACGACGCATTCGGCGACCGAGATCCGATACCCCTTGGAACGAATCTTAGCAATTGTTGCTTTTACCAAAAGAGAGGTTCCACAGTTTTCGGCCTTTGCCAAATGCTTTGTTAGTCCGGCGCTGCAGTCTATCTCGGAGATAAAGTCCTTCTAGCCACTTCAATCCGGATCTGCAGACGTGGCGCCGTGGTCTTTCGCGGCTGCCCGCTGCAGGATCTGTTCCACAAGTGGCAGAGAGTTTCAACCATAGTTCCCAGCTTGAAAGATATCTAAAAAGGCAGGCGCAGAATCACAGAATCAGAATGCCAATACTCGCATGGTCGATCGTGACACCGTGGACTTGAGGGTCCGATTGCCCAGGTGGAGGTGAAAGTGAGCGCGTTCAATGCGGCCATCACGGGCTGTGAGAAGAGCCGTTGGTGGACGAAAGCGCTGGCGCTCTTTGCGCAGATAGATCAAGTGCAGCTGGAGGCGCCCTTTGAATGAAACACGCGGTGGAGGGAGATTGGCCATGGGCTATTTTGTGCTGAGTACTTACCAAGCGGACCTGTGCACACAGTAAGCTTTATGATCTGGCGGAAACTATAATAAACCACAAATGATCGTTCGAGGAGCACTACTGAACGGCTGAGAACACATCACACAATCTTGACTTGATCTCAACAGACCAGGACAGTTTTTGTTCTTCCACTGTTCTCCAACTGTGGCTTTTCTTCCACTGTTCTTGGGAGCAGATGGCCAGCCAGCTCCGCTGGTCCCCAGATCTGAGGAATGTCATTACTTATAGCGCCCTGATCAGTGCATGTGAGAAAGGAGAGAAATGGCAAACTGCAGCGTCTCTTGTTTGGAATGAACTTTATGAGGTGCGAAGGCTTTTTCGGCACGGAACGACCTCTGAAAGAAGCATCTCAGGCTTCTCCTCGATCAGATGGAGCTAAGGAAGATCCAAAGCAGCCTGGCCCAGCGTAGGGGTAGCATGTCATGTCCAGCATTGTGGAAATAGACTGCCAATTCTGGGCACTTTTTGGCAACACCCTGAGAGAGCCTACTACATGTGTGCAGGCTAGGTGCAGGCAGCTCCAAGGTCAGGGGTGTTTGAGATTCATATCCCTTTTTTCAACGTGGTTCGGTAGGGAACCTGAAACTCTAATTTTGCAGGTGGTTGGTCATCGGGGTGATCGGTGATTTGGTGACCTTCTGAAAGACAAACGTAAAGACCGCGATGTCTGCCGTGCTTCACCTGCACAAGGCAATGTCATCACCTTCGCGGCGGTGATGAGCGCTTGTGACGGTGCAGGACGATGGCGGCAGGCTAGTGGCGCATGTACAAAATGGCCTTCACTGGTGAGGATCCAATTTCAACATTTGATGGATCTGGATGGGCCACAAAAACCCAAGCTTTTGGCCCCACAATCATCCAAAAGCATCGTTCCAGGTGGGAACGATGGAGACCATTCCTATTGGCATAGGTATCAAAAAAAAATAAAAAGAGCATCAAAAAACATAAAATAAAAACAGGATCAAAAAAAAATAAAAAGCGAACCCAAAACAAAATATTCCTTGATAGGCCTCTTCTGCTGCTCTCCTGGCCTTGTGGTCTGCGGGTCCTCTGGTAATGTGGTCCCTTGGTCCTTTGGTCCCTTGGTCCTCTGGTCCACTGGTCCTTTGGTCCCCTGGTCCCTTGGTCCTTTAGTCCACTGGTCCCCTAGTCCTCCGGTCTCCTGGTCCTCTGGTCCTGTGGTCCGCTGGTCCCCTGGTATCCTAGTCCTTCTGTCTCCTGGTCCGCTGGTCTTTTGCTCTCCTACGGCGCTCGTCTGTCGATCTCCTGGTCCCCTGCTTGCGCAAATAGAGGCTTGATTGCTTTCTACTAGAGGCAGCTCCCTGGGAAGAAAGTAGGTACCCAACGATAAGGTTGCCGTCCAGTCATTGAGTAGCCCTACTCGAAAAATGGTTCACCAGTGGAAATAGCTCCCTACTAGGAGGGAGCTCCTGGGGAGGTACACTCTCCTCTACTACCCCAACCATCCTCAGTGGGCTAGATTTTTTTTTTTGATTACCTTTTTATTTTTTTATTGATCCCCGTTGAATATTTTTTTTTGATTCTATTTTTATTTTTATTTTGATCCCTTACCCATTCCTATTTCGTTGGAGGCCATTCATCTCAAAGGTCCAATGTTTCGCACTCGATGCTACTCGATGGGAAGTGCGGTATGCCTGTGTCATTTCGAGGTGGGAATGGTCGAAGGGTGAAACATGAGTCTCAGAATCTTCCGAAGACGTTCGGTGCCCAGAAAGAAAAAGCTTGCTCAATGGTTTTTAGACCAATCTACTTTGAGGTCCTTGAGGTTCAACTCCCAAGACCCTGATCTTTTCATAAGGTTTTGGGGGTCATGGGACATCTTGATCGAATGCAGAAAGACTGTTTTTTGACTTTGAAGACTTTTGACTTTGGCACAGCCTAATGTGAATTTTCCGAAGAATCACACGTGCAGCGAAAAAGCACTTAGCACTTTCTTGTTATATACTAGTAGCGATGCCCTTGTAACTAGTAGCGATGCCCTTGTTGCTAGTAGCGATGCCCTTCGAGCTAGTAGTAGCGATGCCCATGTCAACTTGTTATTACTAGTAGCGATGCCCTTGTAACTAGTAGCGATGCCCTTGTTGCTAGTAGCGATGCCCTTGTTGCTAGTAGCGATGCCCTTCGTGCTAGTAGTAGCGATGCCCATGTCAACTTGTTATTACTAGTAGCGATGCCCTTGTAACTAGTAGCGATGCCCTTGTTGCTAGTAGCGATGCCCTTGTTGCTAGTAGCGATGCCCTTGTTACTAGTAGTAGCAATGCCCATGTCAACTTGTTACTACTAGTAGCGATGTCCTTGTTACTAGTAGGGATGCCCTTGTTGCTAGTAGCGATGCCCTTGTTGCTAGTAGTAGCGATGCCCATGTCAACTTGTTACTACTAGTAGCGATGCCCTTGTTACTA